CTGATGATGCTTGGACAAGGGCCGGCTGATGTTAATGAGGCTTGCGCGCTGATGCGTGCGCGCTGATGCCGATGATGCTTGGCCTGGGGCTGCCTGAGACTGATGATGCTCGGACAAGGGCCGGCTGACGCTAATGATGCTAGCGCGCTGATGCTGATGATGCTTGGGCCTGGGGCGTGGACAGGGGCCGGCTGATGCTAATGAGCTTGCGCGCTGAGGCCGACGAGGCTTGGGCCTGGGGCGTGGACAAGGGCCGGACTGATGCGAATGATGCTTGCGCGCAGATGCTGATGATGCTTGGGTCTGGGGCCGCCTGAGACTGATGATGCTATGCTAGTGCTTGCGTGCTGTTGTCGATGATGCTTGGGCCTGGGGCCGCCGGCCCTTAACGTTGGCTGAATTACACGGGTCCATCTTTTTCAATGATGGCGCTGCATGCCTGGTCTGGGTCCTTGAGCAGCACCTGGATCCTTCGGTGGAAGTTGATTTGGATTGTCCACGCTCATACTTCGTTTTGTACCTTGGTGTATCTCAAACACCGGCGACACGAAAGGATAACACGCCCTTGTTCTGCGGATATTACATGAGTCCGGCGCAATGTTCTGCATATTCTGAAGAAGGCCCTCGCGTGCGAGCATCCAGGGTGGACTGCATGTTGCTCGTCAAGGGCCTCCATCGTACCGGAATGTGCCTGGAACACTCCTTGCAGGAAGGTATCACACAGTGGTCACACAGACACTGCAAGGGCTTCAGTCGCCGCGACCTGCGGACATCCCAACAAGCGTACGTTGTTGGGTCTGTGAGTCGGCTGTGCATCGCTTTACATGCTCTGAAGCCGATTTCGTGGCTGCAGTCTTGAAGGACCAGTGGTTCACCCGAGTAAAGTCCGACGAAGCCGGCAAGGCCTTCAAGGAAGATTGCATCTACGAAGGAAGGGAGCCTAGCTTTTCCTGACGATCGGGAAGAGCACTTTCTGCATGCGTGCAGAGTAACGGAGGTTGGAACTCGGCCTTCGCTGTGCAGTTGAAGGCCATGTTTCCAGATGGTGACCAAGCATCCAAACCAGAGCTTGCAGGACGAGCAACTCGCCAAACTCGAGAAAATCAAAGCCTTCTCAAGGCACTTTCAGGTTGATTCTCGCCATAGCCCAAGAAGTCAAGCGTGATCTGTCGTCAGAGCGGCGGCTTCTGTAGAAGATTGGTCTGACAGCCATGACAGCCAAGGCCGCGTTAGCATATGGTGCATCAACGCAGATGTCCCGGAACGCATCCGCTTCGTGCATCCTCGGTGAATTCGAGAAATGCTTTTGGAGATGGATCACGAAAGCATAAGGTCACTCTGACTGGCATGTTCATTGACTCCGCCCAGATCTGGTGTGCATCTCAGTGCTGGCCAGACCTTGCTCCGGCCGATATCTGCCCGACTCAGGCGGAGCCACCACCTCGCACAACAGAAGGCAGGTCAACTCAGGTTTCACATCAGTGACGATCTTGTAGCTTCTTCAAATGTCCATCTGGAAGTCGCTGATGGTCGTTTCATAAGGGAAACACCGTTGCCGAAGGCCTGGATGTCGTTCTACACGGACAAGACAGGTCCGCACTACCGCAAGGTGGCATCAGTTCATGCCTCAGATCTCGTAGACAGTAAAGAACAACCACCTGGACAGGCCAAGTCTAGTATTGTTGCCGGTACTGTACTTTTGGGTAGTTCTCTAAATTAGTGTCCCTTTTTGGGGTCCCCCATATAGTACGGCACCGTTATAAAAGGGACCCTAAAAGGGACCCTACAGTAATTTAGAGAACTACCCTTATAGAGGTATGCACAAACGCTGGAGCTGAGGACTGGAAAGAGGCACCTCGTGACGAAAACAACGACGAAGAGGCGCAGCAGGCCAGGCTCAAGCTAAACCCTATACCCTAAATTGTTGGGGTTTGGGGTTTAGGGCATGTGAGATGAGGTCCGCGTTTTCGTGTACATTGTAAATATGACTGATTACGCGCAAGATGATTTGGGTTTGCATTGTCACTGTGAGGGTATGACTCGATGCATAGCTCTCACAACGACGGCTACCACGGACTATGCACTTTGATGTGTCACAAAAGCATACAAGTAAGGTGAATGTACACGAATATGCATACTTGTTTGCCGGGCTGCCTGCCTGCCTGCATGCATATATGCATATGTACATTGGTACATACAGACCTACATGCACACAGGCCGGCCGACAGACAGATCTATGAGATGGATGATGCTGCCATGTACACCTTTGTTCCGATACAAGATCGGATCATAAGAGCGCTTAGACGTGATGCTTGTGCCAATCTCAGGAACACTCGAAGCTTGAGTATGGGTGGCAGCAATCACCACTGCTATTGTTTTCTGCCTTTCCTGCTTGTAGGGAGCAGTGCGAGCGCAAGTTCACAAGTTGATTGCTCTGACTCCCACATCAGATGAGCTATATACCTTAATAATCCTTCATATTTACAAACATGTCGAAATCCATGTAGACCACGAGAACCCCAAGACCTTAAATACCCAGCCTTAGTGCCTGTGAATATCTCTTGCAGTTCCTTCTTGGTGAGTGACTTGTGTCCTTACTATGCTCTCTAGGGAGCCCTGTTGGATCCCGTAGTTTGACAAAGGTTCACACTGGAGCGTGGTCAGGGGAACTGCATGAAGCAGTCATTTGGGAATCCGAGCACAGGTCATCACTGAGCTGGATGCAAAGTTCTGCCACGGCGCCTTCAAGCTAGGAGCTGACGTTCTGAAGCTTGGAAGCTCGTTGCTTCTTGAGGGGAGTTGCCTCAGGCTCTTCATCTCCTTCAACGCGGAGGATCCTCAGAATTTCTCGCCAGAGTATGATCGAGCGATCACCATCAGGCCGAGCCTCCGCCAATCTGACATAAGGGTAGTTTTCTAAATTAGGGTCCCTTTTAGGGTCCTTCTCATAAGGGTGCCGTATTATATTGAGAACCTAAAATTGGACCCTAATTTAGAGAACTACCCATTACATGGCCTTCGAGATCCGAGCGTGCCGAGTGGTTCAGGCTGAAGCTCACACCCCATCTGCCACTGCTAGGCAGGCATCGAGGGACGGCATGCCGTGGTATTCTGACTGCGGCGAAACTCAGGTCCCAAGAACCAGCTCATAAAGCTCTTCCGACACTTTGGAGCAGCAACCCTCAGACCTCGAAACACACCCGCCAGCATAGAAGACTCAACTTGTGGAGAGCTTATTCCCAGAGTTCGCAAGGCCGTGGCTGAGCAAGGCGACGGGCATTTGATTCACTACAAGAAGGTGCCCGCTTGCAAGCAGCCTTCATAAAAAGCGGACAGTCGTGAAGCATCAAGAATAAGAAGCGGCGCTTCGGAATTTGGAAGGTGGAGCTGGTGGCCCTTCGGGTCCTACAGCTTCTGAAAGCCTCGGACCGGCTTCGAAACAGCCTACTCTACGACTCCAACGCTGAGGAGGCGAACAACAGCCGATTGCCGGTATCGGCAGCGCTGTGCTTTGCGTTGCTCAGGATTCGGCTGCCTACACAGCGTTCCACGCGACTGCTCCCGCCTAATGGGCCTTGCGCGATCTGGTCTTGTGTCAGGAAGTGATATCCATCACCACTGCACATGAGCGACTAGGTCGAGTTCTTGAAGTCCTTCTGCGAGTGCGAGCCGCACTATCGCGGCCTCTTCGTCAAGAAAGAAGTCAGCACCACAGTCTGGAAGTGCCTGTGCCTTCCGGAGGCCAGTCTACGGGATCCACTTATACCGGTGCATGCTGCATGGGATGGACTGAGGTGTTCGAGTTCTTGGTGTCCTGCATTGCGCTGGCGGAGCAAGTCCCGGTTTCGCAGATGCTCGTGTGTGGAGCTCAGTAAACGAAACGGACCATCATGTACCAGTCTTTTGAGTCCGCATGCGCACGTTGGACCAGAAGCCTGTTCGCAAAGTTACGATTTGGCGAAGGAGGGTTATCAAGTGATAGTCGGAGAGGCCACACGCCATGTCACGTGCGCACGTACCAGGCTGCCCCGTGAGACGTGAGTTCTGCAACCGCTACACCAGGTCTGTCTTTGCCAACAGCGACATGCGAATCAACATGCAGTTCGTGGAGAAGCTGATCCAGGAACGCCGCATTGAAGCTTCAGTTTAACCGGTGTGCACCGCGACCTGTAGCCGCAGACAAAGGCTGTGGATGAGAACTTCTCCAAGAATCAGCAGTCTTCCCTTAATGCATTGCTGGTCTTGAAGAGCATCGTGACAACTTTTGCAGCAGACCGAGACTAAGACTGCTGGTCCATGCGCAGCCATGAGACCAAAAAATGAGGCGGAGAACGTGGAGACCCGTGACAATGGGAACATCATCATGCAGGGAGCCCGGCGAAGGGCAGAGATACTCGTGGCTTTGTCGCGCTTTGGGGTACTGCACCAGCGCAGGCGCCTCTTCATGGACAACAACACGGAGAAACGCATCGAGAACCCGTACATCCCGATGGCCTTCGAGGCACTTTGTCAGAAGCTTCCTCTCCCTGCGAACGTGAACAGATCCATGCAAAAGATTGCTAGATTGCTCGCTCCATCCATCTAGGCTTTCCGTGATTCCGTCGAGTTCATGCTTGCGGACAACCAGCACATGGCAGAGCACATTGAGTTTCTCAAGAAGCAAGAAAAGGCTTCACAAAAGCCTCGTCGCACGTTCCTTCTTGCTGCTTGACCAATCTGCGAGGAGGAAAGCAGAGGCCGAGCCAATGTGACCACAGAGAGGATCGGTATCTTGGCAGGAAGTGGAAGCTTGCCGTAAGCCGCTGTTTCTCTGGCCTCTCTCAGGTCGGCAAAAGCCGGGTCTGCGTCTCTGCTTTGTGGGATGTTCTAGCTGTAAGCCTTCAAGCATCTTCTCGTACCCTCGAGGCAAGAAAAAGGAAGCGAAGGAAGAAGAGAGCAGCATGGCACCCAGCCTTTTCTGTCCCACCGAACTCGAGGGTTGAGGCTTGCACTGCTGCCTGGTAGCAGGTCCCGCCGCTTCGGGGCTCAGCGCTTCACGGGAAGATTCACTGCAGGCCACTCTCAAATCTGTGAACATGTGCCCAACGAAACTGCATCTTTGGCTGCCACGCTGCATCTTGCAGCAGACGACACTGCTGATGCTTCAGTCTTGGCATTACATTACGCAAAATTGGAAAGACCCATGCTGCGTCTGCCGCGAGGGCTCGGAGCAGTCCCAAAAGAGCGGCAAGCCAGGCGGCACCCTTCACGGCTGTGCATTGCGAGTTTTTTCAACGGTTTTGCGAGCAGAGTCGGTTGTGCCGGTCCAGACATTGTCAGTGCCTGCGTCCGCGCATCCTAAGCTGTCTTTCAGCTCAAAACGAGAGGGCCGTCCTAGATCACCAGCCACGCCCATCGCAGATCGTAGTCGCCTCCATGGCGATTGCTTCTGCGATACGACTAGCAAGTACTGCTTGCTGTGTGGCAGTCCTAGCCGGAAGTTGGACTTGGCTGGCCACACTTCCGACGAATGTGTTGTTTGGGCTGATGACCAGCATTGCGACATTGATTGCGCTGAGCTTTATCCCGGACAATCAGGGCGGGAAGCAGTCGGAGCTGCATCGATACCCAGCCACTGATTCAAAGCTCCCCTTGCCAGAGTCTAACATCAGAGACTCTTACCCCAAGTACAACGAGAAAGACCCAGTGAAGTCCTTCGTGTCGATCTGTGAATGTCTGATTCGTGAGTGCACAGAGTCTCTGCCTTCGACGCACGAGCTTCCACAGATGGAGCAAAAGTGGATAGTTGACATGCTGGAGTACAACGTCAAGGGCGGTAAGATGAACAGAGGCTTGATGGTTGTGGAGAGCGGCAAGGTGATCATGAAGTCCCAGGGCAAGGAGGTCACGGACGACGATCTGAAAAAGCTCGCAGTCCTCGGCTGGTGCATTGAATGGCTGCAGGCCTGGCTCCTGGTCGCAGATGACTTCATGGACAGCTCTGAGACTCGCCGCGGGCAAGTCTGCTGGTACAAGAAGGATGGTGTCGACGAGATTGCTATCAACGATGCTTTCCTCCTGGAGATGCTGGTCTACAGAGTGTTGAAGCGGCACTTCTGGATGGAGCCGTACTACATCGACCTGGTGGACCTCTTTATGGAGACAACCTTCCAGACCGAGTGCGGCCAGCTTCTCGACCTTCAGTGCAAAAACTTAGGACTTGCGGACTTCACCTACAAGCGTTGGGAGCTGATAGTTAAATACAAGACTGCCTTCTACTCCTTCTACTTGCCGGTGGCCCTCGGCATGACGGTCGCTGGCATCAAGAACCAGGCAGCCTACGATGCAGCCAGGGAGCCCTTGCTGCTGATGGGCGTCTACTTCCAGGCGCAGGATGACTACTTAGATGCCTTTGCCCCCCCTGAGACCCTCGGGAAGATTGGCACCGATATCCAGGACAAGAAGTGTGGCTGGCTCTTCGTGCAGGCATACCATGAGCTCTGCTCATCTGAGCAGAAGGCCTACCTGGATGAACACTACGGGAAGTGTAAGGTGCAAACAGAAGAGGAGAACAAAATCAAGGACATCTACAGAGATATCGGCTTGGAAGAGAAGTACAAGAACTACGAGGCACAGTCTTTCAAAGACATCATGGCCTTTCAGACAAAGGTGGAGGAAGTAGGTCTGCCTTGGGAGATCATTGAGATCTTCTTGAAGAAAGTCTACAAACGCACCAAGTAAGTGCCACTTGCGGTTTTGGAGAGTCTTTTGCAGTTGCCTGCAGCATTCTGCGGGTCAGCATTGATTAACATGTAGTAGTGCGTTTCGTTGACGCTGTCAGCATTGTGTCAGATTGTTTGGCCGAGTATACCGATCGATCATGCAAGGACGGCTGAAACGATCCGAATAGCCTAGTCTCACAAGTGCATATTTTCCAACTTGCGCCGTGCGCAAATTTTACTCAGGCTTGCAAGAGACAGTCTGCACGAACGCAAGTGCCACAGAATGCTCAGAATCGCCGAAAGAAACACTGGCCGCTGGCTCTGTGAAGGTAGAATTTGTTGGGTCGAAAAGGCACGTTTGGCGCCGCTGCTGCTGCCACCACGGGCACCGGTTTTGATGACAGTTTTGCAGACTGCCGGGTGCTCAAAGCAAATTGGCAGTGCACGACTCTACGTGGCTCGTCAGACTTATGCGCCTCAGCGTTGCAACTGAGTTGACAGCGCTGCTTCAGAGGACGAAGGCCTTCTTGCTGGTACACTTGTCTCGATACAGCCCAGACGCTCTGTCCTGCAGGCGAAGCAGAACAAGAGGCTGCAGCCACCTTCGGCACGCGGAAGTCCGTACCTGAAAGCGTGTAGCAGGGAAGCCCGTCCCTCTACCCCAAAGGTTCTTGCACGAAGGCAGGCGTTTGAAACTAAGAGTGAACATTAGCCAGCGGATGTTGCCTCAACACCCGAAGAAGTGCCCCAAGACTGGGACACTACACGTGATGCGAGTTGCTTGATTCTGGTCTTGGCTCCAGCATCACGTCAGAAGATGCGATATTTCAGGCAGGTCCTCATCCATGGTGGAGAGTCTCCATCCTCGGCAATCCAGAAGTACATGGCAGATGGAGTCAGATAGAGCATTTAGTAACTAGTAGAGGCTGTCGACTTGGCAAGCGGGACCGTAATGAGCAACCACCCTGGACACTGTCATTCGTTCCGACCTGCAAGAGCATCACGTCGACAGTGCCTTGTCCTCCACCGGCCCACCCATTTGCCTCCAGTATGACAGAGGCCGGGACCACAGTGTCACAGAGTGTGTAGACTGAATTTGCGCAAGAATGCGGTGGTCTTCTAGATGCATCGGTTAGGTGCAGAAAGCACAGCTTGCCGCCAATGCTCTTGTGGCCAAGCTACAGAAGGGAGAGGAGTCGATTCACAGTCTGCATTGCCAGCAGCTTGCGTGTAGGCTGACACTATGCCAGGGACTTGCCAACTCAGGCCATCGAAGCTTTAAGACATTGCGGGCGCCTGCAGGATGCGATGGACGAAGCCAAGCACTTCGTTCAGTACGGAAGCAGCATCCCCGATGGTTCCTCGTCCTGCATTCTGGCGACAGCATGTTCGCGGAGCCCTCCTTTCAGTCAACCAAGGCTTGGTGGTGGGGTGCTTCGGCTTGAGGCACCCCTTCCGATGTTGTGCTGTATACAAGCCAGTAGCAGCTCCTTAAATCAGTCGGGTCTCGGACACAATCTTCCAGCACCGCCACGCAACTCGGAGGGATCAGGCGCAGGATCCCAGCTGTGGGACACCTTCCTAAACCCCTACAGTAAACCCTAAAAATCCTTCCTTATTATAATTATAGATAATATAATGGGCCCCAAAGCCCTATTCTAATTAGGCCCCTATAGCTTCGGAGTTGTTAGATTGATTGGAAGTGATGACCGCTTCCGCGTCTGGTGCAGGGCAAGAGGAATCAAGTCCCAGCCAGACGTTCTGGCATTTCTTCTCGCGCATAAAGGAAACCCCCATGCAGCTGCCTGCCGGCACTTGGTGGGTCACCTGCGAGTGAGACCAGTCATAGAAATGAATGTGCTCTTCAGGAAGATCCGATGACCCAAGGACGGCAGCTTTCCGCGGCTCTTGAAGGTTTGACGCCCCTTGCAGCTGATCGCAGGACCCGCAATCCACAGCGCTTGCTGGCACGGGTCCGTAGAGGTCGTGAAGGTTCTCCTGGAGTTCAAGGCGGACTTGGAGGCCAGGCCGAGCCCGGAGCCATGTGGAGCCTGAGCCCACTCCCCGGCCTAGCTGCCTCAGCTGCTGCGCGCGGTCTCAGGCGAAGGAGCCTAAGATGGAGACGCCTCCACTGAACACTGCTATTGCGGCATCTCGGCTGAGACGGCACGCTTGCTTGCATACGTGACAGCTGTGAGCGGCTTTGCTGGCGAGGCCGGAAATGCGCCGGTGTGCCTGGAACTGCTGAAGCGCAACGCCGACGTGCCTTTGACCGGTGTTGCTGAAGACAATGTGCAGTTGTCAGGCTTGGTGCGATCCCTGAAGCAGGGAGCAGAAGCAATGGTCATGCTTTCAATGTCTGTCAAGTGTTTCGGACACAGGCTTAAACTCGGTGGGCCCCTCCGCACGCCCGAACTGTTCCGAGATCTGAAGTACCCGGAGCCAGCTCAGGTGCAGTGGAAGCACCACGATGGTGCAACAGCCCTACATGCCACTGGACCAAATAGTAAATAGTACCGTGTGCTCTGTACCTGCCAGAAACTCCGACTCTGTGGATTGATGTTCAGGTTGCCACAGCATGGATCGCAAGTTCTCACAACTCAGATTTGCGTGCTTCTCTCAGCTGTGGCTATGACCGCGGACCGTCTTTGTCACGCCCTGTGCTTGAGGCATGCCTCCCACTGGCGAGGAGCCAAGGAAGGTAATTGCACGGTGCCCAGCGAGCGCTGTGCCACGATGTCGGGGGCAAGGATATGCAGCGGTAGAAGTGCTCAGGCCATGATGCTCCACAACGGTGTGGACCCCACCCAGACCGAGGGCATGTCCAAGGGCACGCACCGGTCGGAAGGTTGGGTCAGCCGCGAGCCGGAGACTGCAACTAGAGGAGAGACCCCTCCAGGCATGACGCCTCTGGAGTCTTTTCGCCGAGAGATTGCGAGGCATTCGCAGCGAGCCAACAAGAGAATGTTGCAGGGTTCGTATTAGGAATTTCGGTGAGTGTATACAACTCCATGTCAACAATGGTGAGCCATGCCGGTGAGATGAGTAATATCAACCTACATCTTATAAACGTGGCCAGAGTGAGTGGTTTTTCGTCAGGTCTCCCTGGCGGACGCACGAGCAGATTGGTCGTTTCCTGGCACCGAATTTGAGGGGCTGCGATGTCAGAGGTTTCAGAGGTGGCGATAGTCCAGTCCGAGGCTTCCTGCAAGCACTTAGCTGAGCTTAGCTGTGTGCGCTGGCGACAGGCAAGTTCGATGAAACAGCGAAGTCCATCCATTTGCTCCTCGAGCAGGCAGCCTGATTCTGCCCATGAGAAGCTCGCAACCAATGGAGCCAACAAGTGCATCGTGCCAAAATCCTGCAGGCGGAGGAGGCCGTCAAACTGAAGCAGACTGGCAACAAGGCCCTGAAGGAGAAGCGCTACGATGACGCGCTGAAGGCTTGAGCTCCAAGTTCTTTCGACACGCGGATCGTTTGCATGCGCCAGGCTTGGAGGCATGCCCGTGAAATCTGGAAGAAGGCAAAGCCGGGCTCCCCGCGATTCTCCGTGTCGTCTAATGGCAAGTTCTTGATGAACGCAGCAGGCAGACGTCAGTGGTCACCATGTTGCTGTTCTGTGGAGCAACGAAGTCCCGACCCAAGAATTCAATAAATGAACCTTGGCTCCTGCTACCGTTGCAGCAGCACTATAATGATATCGACGGCTATCACTAGCAAGCTGAGCTGAGGCCATATGTTGCCGGCAAATGGAAGGCATGAACTTGGCGGCAGCCATTCAGGCTTGCGAGGAAGGCTTGAAGCTGTATGCGCTGCACCCGACTCAGCTTATTCAATGCCCCATCTGCGGCTTTGCTTGGTCAGCTTTACCCTCCGTGGCTCAAGGCCGCAGATCCGACAGAAGCTGCAGCACAGCTTGGAAGAGGCCAAGAAAGGTCCCAAGGAGCACTGGGGCTCCAGAGTTCTCAGGTGACAGATACAAGCAGATGCCAGACATGGCATGCTGCGAATTCTGTTGTGGAGGAGAAATCGCCGGAAGAGGAAAAGAAGCTAGAAGAACTCGTGCAACAGCACAAGGCAAGTCATCCTGACATCTTTGCCCAGAAGTGTCGATTGTGCGTACTGGTTAATGATCGTCGCGAGGAGAAGAGACAAGAACAGAAGAAAGAATGGAAGAACTTAACTTCAAAAGCAGCCGCCTGGCCGATACCGTGCGTGGATGCGGTTCCAAAGCGTGCGGCACGCCAACCGTCAGTGAGCGTTCCAGTACAGCAAGACCGAGGTTGTTTCTATGTTCACGGCAAGCAGTGTGGTAGTGTTCTGGAGTTGTCGGTACTGCGCTAATAGCTGCTAATACTGCTCTCAGCAGCAACATGTTATCCCATTTCGGGAAGAAGGTCGCTGCGGAAGGAGGCATCTATGGGGAGGATGGAAGCGCTCAGAAAGACTATGCTGCCTGCTCGCACTGAATGTGAGGATTGTCATTGCACCGGGTTTCCAGTTGGCAGCGGTGACCAGGTCATTCCAGGTCCTTTCATCTGCCCGATGAAAGAAGCCCAGGCCGGGATTGAGCTGCGAGTTCCAAGGGGTTACGAGCCATCGCCGCGTTGCAGGAAATGGGCCTCGGACCGCCTCCGGAGCCAAAGCCATGGTGGGAGAAGCGAGATGCAGCTTGGCAAGTTGCCCCAGCTGGCAGTACGCAGCATGTAGTAGCTGAGGCAGATTCTGATGAGGAACCTGAAAGGAGGGGAATTGGTTATTTGCCCGCTCATCATCCAAACTGGTGAGGGCCAGCAGGTACAAAGTCTGCTTGTCTCACAGCGAGTGAGCCTGGCATCAAGTAGCAAGGCCCTTCCTGAAAGGATGGGCACGCCTTGACGCCGACACACTGACGAGAAGTCAGCTCTTTGTGAAGCACTTTTGATCGTGGAGCCTTGCTTCGAAACGACCATGCATTCTTAGCATTTCAGGAAGAAGGCACAGCCGAGAGCCGATATACCGTTCGTCGACTGCCCGGTAGGGTCTGAAAATGGGCGTGCATGGAGTGGCAGTCCCGTCCGTTCGCTTTGGTCGTGTGGGTGTTACGTAAGTGCCCATGCGGCCCATGCACAAAAGCCAGTCCCTGCCAACAGTCTTCCACGAGGCTCGTGCTCGCAAACTTCTTTCCTACCTGTTTCCAGCTTGCCGAAGCCTTGGCACAGACTTCATTATCGCTTACGATGTTGTTGCTCCGGAAGACGCAAGGCGACGATTGAGCTTGTCATCCGTTGCTCTTCCTTCGGCTTCAACAAGACAGTTCTCAAGCAGAAAGATTCTCAGTCCTTTCTGCACGAATGCCACTGAATGCCTCCGACCGTTTTACAAAGCTCTACAGGTTCAGCAAGAGCGTCACGGAGTCCCAGCTTCGTAAGGATGATATGGAGGAGGCCGAAAGCTGGCAAACAGATGTGCAAGATAAGATATTTCCATCGAGAATCGATCCCCAGCCTGTCAGAAGGCTGAGGAAGGAGCCGTGGAGGCGGATGCCAATCAGCAGGATGACGATGGCACCGTTGCCAGACAGAAGTGCCCTTCACGGAGTCTTAGGTTCTTCTCGGCGCTTGTTGCAGCAACAAAACATGGCCAAGCAGTTGTTCAGCACTTGTAGTGGTATTGGAAAACGACCGTGATAGTGAAGTGCCTGCAGAAGACTGGTCCGACCAATCACAAGCGAAAATGAGCCAATGACTTGTTGTCGTAGGCATCGACTCGAAACCTGCCTTTAGTGTTCGATGATGCGGTGGCAGACGGAATACTGGCTTGTAAAACACAGGATGTGCATTCCTTCTGCACATGGGCATGGCTGCAAGAAGTGGATGCGTCCTGCCACCTCAAACGGATGGAACAGAAGAAATGGCAGTGCATTCGTGCAGGGAATGTTTACCCAATGGTGAGAATCCAGCAACCAGACAACCGTTTGGTTCATGAGCAGCAACATTACACACATGCGGAATGCTGATGTGCAGGTATTTTCGCCACGTGATCTTCTGGTTGCACATGCAGGACAACATGATCAACATTCCTCTGATTGTTCAGGACTGCCTCACTACTGCAATTCCCTGTCGGATGCTTCGTAGTGTCCTGCCTCGCAGACAGGATGGCTTCATCCGCATGATGTGCATCCTTCTGAAACCCCACGAGGTCGAGGCAGGGGTGCTTTCGTGCCGGTTCTTGCCACATCCTGGGGTTCCGTTGCAGTGCAGGATGTGCTCCACAACCGCTTTACTGCCAAGCAGCGACGGCTGCGCAGCAACGCTGTCAAGCCCACGGACACCGTGCGCTGGCCTGCAAGTAGACGTGCGTGCTCGTCTTATGACACATTGCTGCGTTGACACCCAGGTGTTGCTGCTAATCAGATGGCCCGCAGCTGAGTTTCAGCTGCCGCAGCCTCCAAAATTGACCTGCTCAATCGGCGTCCGCAGAGGTTCACGGAGTACTTCAAGAGATTTCCAGATCTTCATCTTTTTGGCAACCGAATATCGCCAGTGGTGGAGGTGCAAACTTAGTTGTGTAAAGACAGGGCGATTTTCTGGTATCGACTTAGCTGTGAGGTGGAATTCTTGCAGCGATTGCGTCACCGGTATCGACACATTGTAGAAAACACAGGATGATAAAAGGGTGCTTGTTCAAGAACACTCGCGTTTTGAAGGCAATCGATGAGCGTGTCACCTACGAGCTGATCGGGGCTTGGTGCAGTCAACGGGTCTTTCGTCTCCGTACAGCGCATTCTGGGGCACAGCCTGGGCTCAGGTCGCCTTTCTTCGTGCGGGATCATATCTTCCTGCTCTTTACACAGGCATGGGAAAGGAGAGCATTCAGCAGAGCATCGTGCAAAGGTGCGTTGCTTGTAGGTGCTGCATGCCTACAACATCCAAAGGACCTGGGGCAAGGAGGGGACCTTGGTTCCCTTCAAGTCCAAGAGTTGCATGAACATGCGTGACATGCGGCATGCCACTGCCAGACCCGAGTCGATAAGGACTGGTTCTCCAGCTCCGTGCGCGGAGGACCCGTCCATGGCATTCCGTGGTGCGTTTCAATTTTGTCAGTGTTCTTGCCCTCACGACACGCCTCGTTTGCTGCGACTCTGTAGGACAAGAAGATCAGCCACCCACCATCTCTGAGCCGATCTTTGCGGACCGCCTTGACCGGTGGAGTTGCAGGGACGCTTGGAATTGAAATCGTCTGGCAGGACTTGGTGCGTCGGCATGCGTTCGAGCTTGCCGAGAAGGAGGGCGATGCCGCTGGTGCTCAGGCGAGTCTTTGTTGCCAGGAACGCTGCGCTCTCTTGTGAGGCGTGAGCAAACAGAGGGAAGACGACTCCAAGATAGGGAGAGCCGTGCTTTGGAAATCTCACGTCCACTTAGAGACACCATCGTGTGTCGTTGCACAGCATTGTCAACCCCGTGCAACAGGACGTTCGTGCCCTTTGCATGTTGTGCCTTTACCGGTGTGAGGCAGAACCCTTTTGACATTCCGTGTGGGAATTTAAAAGCAACGCACAGGGATTGTCGGGCATCAACGCACGGTATGTTGATCATCAAGCCTGCGTGCTTGCTTGCATAATATCTTGTAGCCCGCTGTAAACATCATACGACGGACCACGAAACGAAACACTGTGATTTCATGTGATGGTGAGATTTCTCTGTTGTGGGGCTGACACACGACCAGCTGAGGTAGCTGCCTGCAGTCGCAGGGTTGGAATGTTTGGTATTGCGGTTCAAATCTTTTGCAGTCGGACTCCACGACTGTAGCGTCAGCAGGCACACGGCGACGCAGAGGGAGAAGGCGATGATGATCGAGCCAACATGCTGGATTCTGAGCTGAGCCACCCTGATCACGCGAAAGCATCGTAAGTTGTTGCCGAGGACAGACATCATCGGCGAGCTGTTTAAGGCGCGAGTTTGGAATTGGTCTCAGTCTGTGTACAGCGTGTGATGGAGCAGTCTCCCTGACACTGCCAACGCTACATTACCACATCCTGTAGTGCTTTCCTCTTGAGAATGATTTCCCAATGCAGGTACTCTTCAAGCAACAGGATTGGGCTGCTGAAGATTGGGGCGTTGACCAGGAGCCTTTAGCCGTTTATTCTAGAAAAGTTGCGCGGGGCGGAAGACCAATTCGCGCGGACTCGAACTCTCCAGGAGCTGATGCACATTATTCGGATGATCCTGTCTCTGGGCTTGTGCAATGCGTCGGAGCCTAAGCCCGGGTCTGTACTCACACAGCACATGGAGCAGACTAAACATGTCAGGAGCGAAGTAGAAGCCGCAAAGCATTGCCTACAGCGGCTCGGAGTGGGCATGGAGCAGGATGCCATATGTTTTTTGCCTTCGTGCACCGGTGCTGTCAGCATGTTGCGACAAACACGCAGCCAAAAGCCTGGAGGACTTCCAGATAGTTGAACAGACTCGGGGCGATCCCGACATTGGAGAGCAGCAGGGGGCCGGAGCTGGATTGGACGAGGACGGAACTTGGGTGAATGTGCTGCTGAGCGCAGCGGAACGGAATTGCGTTGTTTTAGCAGGGAGCGGTGAATGCACGCTCAAGTCTCGCAGCAGGGCTAGTTAAGAGCACATTGGGCACTGCTTCTCAGAAGCCAATCGGGAGTAAACATGTCCTGTGAAGATGTTTTATGCCCGTTGCCTTGCAGGAGTCTGATGAGGAAGGCAGTAGACCGTGCGTGTTTGCAAACTCGACATGTGACTAAGTGTAATGTCCACTGCTCGCAAGTTCCATGACCTCGGGTATTCAGCCCAAGATGTCCTGACCTCGAGCTGTGCCGCGCGTGAAGAGGCAACCCTCGAAACCGGTCGCGCGTCGTGGGCTTGCACGGCACTGAGCCTTCAGGAGTAGACAGACGTTAATCTTCCGACTCGTCACATTCGTTAAGCCTGCAGTGTTTTGAGGCATCGAGGCTTCGTTGGTCAAGAAGATGAAATGTACACTCCAGCGTTCCAGACCCTGAAACCGCTGGAGGCTGCATCTTCGGCTTGATGCGCGGGTCGCTGTCGTTCCGTCTCGTGGCATGGTGACTCCGGCAGGACTTTGGCGGCAGGCTACCTGACATCAAACGTAATCCGCAGTCGGACACCAGCATCAAGCAGCAGGAGCGTCTCCAGGACGGACGCCCCATGAACACAGGGATCGTTTCCTCTCTTCCCCCCCAGAGCTCCAGTGACTTCGGCACCCTGGGCTAAGGGCTACTGTACTCTCAGCCAGGACTTTCTCTATGAGCTCGTGGAGATGCCAGACATGGCGCTGCCCATCTGCATCCTGGGCCGCGTCTCCCAGTCCCGAAGCTCCCTTGGATCCCCAGAGGTTGGCGAAGTCGCTCCATGTGGACGTCAATCTCTGGCGCCTGCATCTCTGATTCTGGCATATTCTGGCGCCCGCTTGTGCAGGGTTCCTGGTGTGGTTTCTCCAAGCACTCAGGCCGACAGCTGATCCAGCACCCCACCTTCTTGCTCAGGGGAAGTGATGTCTCGGCCCTATCGCCAGCGCCGTATTCTCACCATCGGGCTTCCTCCGTCCAACAAGGAGCGGATGTGGCACGTCGGAAAGGAGATCGTACAGAGACTGCAAGGCGATGATTGATCGCAAAGAGGACAAAGTGAGATCCAACTCGACCAGGCTTGAGCTTCAAGCTGACCGCTGGGGAAAATCTGTTTCAGGCCCGAGCTCCAGCAAAAGGCAGTTAGGACCGCGACGGAACGTTGCGTTGCTATGCGTTGCTGGCAGGAGTTTAGCTGCGAAGTCCATGTACTTCGACCAGGCGAAGACTGCTTCTTTTAGTGTAGTTAGTGTCTTACATCTGTAAAGTCGGTTGTTCTGCAGGGTCGCTCCCCTTGTTGCTGCGTGGTCTTCTCCTGACATGATTCACTCATCGGCTGAACCTAACATCTCCTGTGGCAGTCCCAGAAGTGGGTCCAACATTCCAATCAAAGCAATCATCAGACATCATCAGACATCGACAATGCTGAGCATATCCGCCTCCCCCCGCGCGGCCCCCTGTTGTAGCGCGAAAGTGAACGCCCATTGAACGCAGCAGATGGAGGATCGGGTTGTCGATGCCCAGAGTTTCCGCTTCTCTGGCCAGAGACAGCGTAAGTCCAAGACCAAGCACATATCTCTCTCTCTCTCTCTCTCCCTCTGTCTCTGTCTCTCGCTAGTTTCTTGCTATTGCTGTGTGAACGTTGAATGTACCATCCTGCTGGTGTCGTCTAGCGCAGTCCTTCCTCTGGCTTTTTGCAGCATTCGTTGGCGGGGTTCCTTGGACCACTTTGTGTCTGGAACAGAGCTGTCGTCCGCGAGGCGATGGCAACGTGGCTGGGTTGTCCCTGCCAAAAGACAAACGCAAGGGAAATGTGTGATCCTGAGACCACCCATGTCAAATGCGGCTGCGTTTCTCCTGACCATGATACACGCATTCTTCCTGCAAGTTCACCCAGGACCACCAATGGAGGGGGCATGGGACTGCTGGAGAAGGCCATTGCAAAGATTTGGAAAGAAAGTGCTCAGTATCTACGACACCACACTGCGACGACGTGCAGGACTTGTCAACAATCAAGTCTACTTCGAGGTCGAAGTCAACGGCACGTGCCCTACAAGGGATGATCAGCATCAGAGCTGAAGGTGCTTCTGCAAAGCAATAGCATCTCTCACAGGAAAGGACGTCGTCTTCTTGAAGAACATGTCCAGCAATCTAGGCCGAGTAAAGGCCCGGCAGATCGTGAAAGCCTTGAGGGCTGCCCGGCTGCCCTGCCCTGACGGCTTTGTAGGTTAGATTGCAGCTGCTGGGATGCCATACTGTGACGCTGCACGGGCCCACGTTTCCTTCTGCACGCTCACATGGTGCCGATGCTCGCAGCTAAGGCGCAGCCGCTGCCTTTTTGACACCGCCGAGTTCCAGCTCGCAGTCTCCAATCCTCGGATGGTTGCCCTGACTTCACCCAAGGCACTCCGGCATAGCTCACGGTCTTTCAAACCTTTGAACTGTAAGCGTTTTCGCCATGTGTATCCCTGAGATTCCCTGAAGTGGTAACTCTGGTAATGACACTTCCAGACTGCAGCTGTCTCAACCACTAGGGATAGAGTTGTGGTTGCCCCCTCCTCCTCCCTTGGGCTTTCGTCCGTTCCTGCGCTCCAGGCATTCTCTCCGGAGGTCATCATGAGGGCAGCGAAGGTCGGTGCTCAGAGGCGCATGGGTCGCGAGCTGCGAAGCTGCCCAGTGCCTCGAGAAACCCTAAACCCTAAGCCCTAAACCCCTAAACCCTAAACCACAGAAACCAGCGATCGCAGGCAAGCCGAGGCTCTGCGGCCTGTGGTGGCTGGCCATGAGCACTGCCGGCACGACTTATCTAGCTTCAAGTTCGCAGACGTCTTGAGCAGCAACATTCCAGGGAGGATGCAGAAGAGGACGGTTGCATAAATGAGCCGTCTCTTTCGTGTTTAATCGCGCATGGCTCATCGAAGTGTCAGACATGACTTGCTGCAGGAGGCCGGCCCCATGACCGCCTGAATCCAAGCCGATCCCATCATGCCCTCGAGCAAACTGACTGCCTATTCCCATGCCTGTTGAAGAGCAGTCGGATAAGGAGTCCAATACTACTGGTCAAGTGAATGCTCTGGACGGATTGGAAGCCGGAGGGAAGAAGGCCTGCTTGATGCAACAGACGAATGCCGAGATGCCTTTTTTGCAGCCCGGAAGTCATGTCTTGCATCAGCACGCCAGGTCAGCATGGCCAAGCGGGTGATTCACGAGCTGATGCCGAGATTCACAGAGAAGGCCTTTGGCTGTCTGTTGAGCTCACTGACACAGCTTCATCCGAAAGTCGAAGAGGTCATTGATTTGGTGGAGGACCTGGTGCAGCATGCGCTGCTGCCTCCAGAGCTCTGCTCATTTGCTATTTGTGCGACATCGGGGTTGCAGAGAGGACCGGTGCTTCAAGTTTGAGAAGCAGTCAAAGGGTCTCGACGAGCGTCTCCTCCAGGCCGTAGCGCAAAGCAAGAGAAGTTGAAGTCGGAAAGTAGCTGCAAGCTAAGAACCGCCAATCGGGAGGCCACAAGGGAGCACGAGCATGATTTCATCATCGCCATGCTCAAAAGATCAGTGCATGAGACTTGGTGCCCAGCACGTTCATAACGGTTGAGCAGGTGTCATAGATGCTTCAGGTCATTTGTGATGCTGGATGTCTTCCTGGAGAAGCTCGAAGTGGAGAATGCCGACTTACTGTATGTTCAGTATCCTGCCATGGTCGAAGCTGCTTGGAGAAGACTGCGATGACATCAGAACCCAAGTCATCATCGGAGTTCCGAACTGCCTCAGGTTTACGAAAGCATTCAGGACGATTCTGTGGATCACGACGAGCTGGACGACATTCCCAGGCTCCTAAGCAGAAGTCCGCGTTCTGCAAGTCCAGCGTCTCATTGCCTCTTCCAACGATACGGACAGGATCTTAAAACGGCGCATTGACGACGGCAGTGTGGATGAAGAAGGGGCCCCTGGCCCAAGTCCGGTTGGAAGTTGCACGCTTGCCCGATCAGGTTCAGCAAGCACAGAGTTCTGTCAGAATCAGCGACTTCCTCGCTTCTTCGTTTTGGGTTTAAACGACAAAGGTCCGCGAGCTGATTCCGGCAGAGGCCATGACCTGATCAATCACAAAAATAGTTACTAGACATCGATTGTCGGTGGCTTTCTGATTCTGCTCCTTGATTTTATGACATTGTGGCGCAGTCCCAAGACTGACACAGACAAGCCGAGTGGATCCGGCAGGCAAGGCTGCTCCTCGTGCAGACGTGGATCATGCCTGCACCTTGGGCGTCCCCAGTCCAATCACCGGGCAACATGCAAAAGCCCTGAGCTTTGATATGACCCTGAAGCTAAGAGTGATTGAGCCCTGAACCTTGAAGCTGGAACCCATACCATCCCACACCCCATACCCATGACTTTGACGATGAGCCAAACCGAGGCGCTTGTGTCATGCAATCCGAACCGTTGCTTTCCTCGGGATTCAGCGGATGGATATCCTCAGCGCTACGGATGGCCAGACGCCCAGCGACCATCTTTCAGCGAGCCTCGGTGTATTTTTGTTACTGGGTTTTTTTTCCCGCTCCTGCTGCCAAACATATCACGCGTGATGGTACTCTGGCTACTCTTACAGGACTAATGATGTACTTCGGTAACCTCCCTAAACCCTAAACCCTAAACCCTAAACCCTAACCCTGTATGCCCTGGCCTAGGTGTGGAGGACGAGCAGGCTGGGACCCTTTGGCATGCACGGGCACGCTCCTGCAAAGCAATGCCTTGACTCCAAAATCCAGAGAACCTGCGGAGTCTCCGTCGAAGCTGAGAGGACGTGGAGAAGGAGGACGACTTGGGGCTGGACGGTGAAGGTGGTTCTGCAGCCCGGGGCCCGGTGTTTTTCCCCTGCTTCAGGTGCCTCTTTTGTAAGGATGTCTAGGCCATCGCAGTCACAATACTGATCATGCTCACAAGCTCTGCATAAAGATCGTATTGTGCAAAGTGCGATGCTGGTAGTGCTGTCTGAGGAGCTTACAATGTGGTCCTCTTGCCGAGCTGTGCTCAACATTCTCCAGGTCGGAGAACGCTTCGTGTGTAGCTGAAACTGCTTCGCAGTTCTTAGCAGGAGCTGCTGAGCCGAAACGACGAGATAGAAGAGCTGTGGGCAAGGTCCGTGGCATCAAGTACGGCACTCAAGAGCCCCGTGGCAGCTCGTGCCTTCATCTGTGAAAGCTCCCAGGTTCGCAGTGCATCGTGAACAGCTCAAATGGGAAGATGAACCTCACTTTTCTGACGGAGAAGGAGAGCCCAATAATGCGGGGAAGAAGTATGGCATGCTGTATGACGACGACAGGCGACTTTCTTCTGTCCGTTCAGCTACCAACAAGTCCCAAGCTTAGCTTCGCAGATCTTCACGGTCTCGGTTGACTTCCGCAAGTTTCTCTGTTGAGGCTTCCTCGGCCTCTGCGGGCGCAGGCTCTCTCGGGAAGCTCAAGAACTTCTTCGAAGAGGCGCGATCTCGCGCGGATTCGGAGCTTCTATCCCAAAGCCCAAAACCAGGCACTGTCGATTGCATGTGGGCATGGCGGGGGCTGATGGTCCGTTACCGTTGTCAGGTGACCATGGTTTCGCGTGGAGAGTCCCAGAAAAGTCAACGAAGCTGACGAGCCCAAGTAGCCTTCTCTATGGAACCTCCATACTGTAGCCTGGTATGTTTTGTTTCCACGTCGTGTCTTGCTCTCGGTGCCGTCTGAACGCCCCGACTGGAAGTCCTCACAGGCTTGAGTCCTTGAGTCCGGGGACTGCCATTCATGGGTTCGCAGGCCTGCACGTAAGGTGCAATCACGAAGAAGTGATATGCGCTGACCTACACCGTGCACGCGATCATCCTATTCACCTTGCGAATCTCCAGGATGCTATCAGCTGATTCAACGAAGTTCCAAAGGGCCACAAAAGGATCCCCATACCGAAACGAGAACAAGCCGCAGCCCGTCGTCATCTTAGTCGTGGATTCTGCGATGCCCTAAACCCCATGCAGGCGCAGGTGCCGGAAGTGGACCCACTGATGCTGGTGTCGGTGCTGCTCTACCATCCACAGGCACGCTACGTGCATGAAGTGTTCACTTCCGTCAATCCTGATGTCAGCGACTTCGTTTGTGACAGCTTGTAGGCTTCATCTTGCAGTCTGGTTTTGTGTCCCCTCCTTGCATTAGATTCCAATCTGGTGCAGGGTCGCCTCTCTCCCTCTCTGCCGTGTCCCAGGCAACATGACTTTCCACAAACAACCGTTTTTTTTCTGCATTTCTCGCCGATGACGAACATGCTTACCGGCCAGAGCAGGAAAAGCATTTACAGAAACTTGCCAGTTTCATTTGCGAGACCAAAACCCGATCCACAGCAGAAGAGTCTCAACACGAAGCATGCTTTTTGGCCATCTGGCACTCTGGGATTCGGCAGCCGTGGCCCATCTTTGATCCTGCAGCGTGACACTGCTGCACGTGCTTCCTGCACTTCGCGCAGATTCCTCTGGACGTTTGGTCAAGGAGTCGCCAAAGCCACACCATCACCAAAAACTCTTGTTTTCAGGGGCGGAAGTTTTGTTCTGCTCACAAGCGCCGGCGCAGGATGTGCATGAGTCTAGCACTTGCAAGCTGCGTCGTTGCCGTGTCTCGTCTAGCCCGGCAGATCAACATGTGGTGCGAGGCATTGATGCGTTTGGACGCATTCAAACTTGGCTGCCGGATTTTGCGAGATCCCAACGAGGTCTTGCAGGAGGCAGAGCTCTTTGCATGCTGTCGCACGCATGTCCTTCGCGAAAACTGTGGCAGGCATACAAATCCCATACCAGCGACGAGATGCATTTGCAAAAGGCTGGCGCTGTAACCCATAGATGACATCGGACACTCCTGTGTAAAGTGGTACCAGCATGCGCCGAAGAGCTGGGAGGCTGTCGGATTTCAGTTCTGCGTCTTCGAGGATCTCTACAAGCGCCTGAAACACAGAGCCCTGTCGGCTTCGGCCGAGATAACCAGATGCCGCAATGTTCGTCTTCTCTGAGGCGATACATACACCGAAAACCACATCGACATGATGGCAGCAATGTGCAAGCCCTACAAATAGCTGTTGCCACCATGCAAACTCGAGCAACCGCAAACCAGCCAGAATGCCGCATGAAAGGCTCAAGCTCATTCAGCAGCTGTGCCATGCACCCAGACTGCTTCCTGACACAACCCGCTGCACCGTGAGAGTCCCGTGCTACTACTTTCAGCTTCAAGGTGAGGGCCATCTGCAAGCCCTTCAAGAGTTCCTGGGTGCGGATTACACAGTGGAGGACTGCCGCCGATTTGTCGAACGAGAGCTGCAGAGATTGGATTGGTCGGGGACCGCACAGGAGCTGGACATATTCTCAGCAAAGACTCTTCCGGGCGGAGAAGATGAAGAGGAGCACAAGGCAGAGTCGGCTCACTGCAGACACAACAGCACTCACACAAACACACGCGCACACACACACACAAAACACATAGGCGCTGGGATTGAGAGCAGTTCCGCAGCTCAGGCAGAAGGTCGCCGACACGAACAAGAGTTGGAGAAGAAGAGTGAACAGCACAACACTCACCCACTGCAACTTGGCATTCAGATCGCTGCGTCTTTTCCCGGGCTGAGGCCGACCAACATCGTGCAGTGGATCTCCCGAATGTGTGTAGCTCAGAAAATTAGTTCTATCATGTTCAGCACCAGCCGTGCGCATGGGGAGCTAGGCACCCGAGAAGGTGAGTGCCAACGACGCACATGCATCATGACCGAGGATCCACATGATCTTGGAGAGCATGCAGGAGGCTTCCAGATACGCATGGCAGAAAGTAAAAAGATGCATTACGAAAGGGTAAGAGGCGATGTATTGCGACACCAGGCCACCATGAACGGGCGGGAGAAGCAATATGTGCGCAGCCAAGCTGGTGCTGGTACTGGTGACCTTCGTTCCAGCTGCGCTAGGGGGTTGTTCCAGTACATAGCAGAGTCCCTTGTTGATGAAATGCAGGTCCTGGTGCAGCAGCTGTTCGACACAGCAGCAGAGCTGATTCAAGGCAATGTGGCAATGCCGAAAGCACGGGACCTGTTCGAGGGAGCTTGGACCTGTAAGGACCGAACCTGGAAAACCAAGCCACGCTGATGGAGAACGGTATTTGCTCTCGACTTAGACTCGTTGCTGAAGCTCAACTGTACTACTGTAAATGACGTCTTGCACATTTTCCTGGCTCACGCCAGCAGTCCGAAACCATACTATACATTACGGTGACACTTCGAGTCTGCAACTTGAAGCCTTCATGTGCGGCATGTCTTGGGAACTCGGGGCCCGAAGCAGAAGGGCCCAGTGAGGGCCCCCGAAAGAGATAAAGGGACTATAAAGGGACTGAGAACCCGAGATCTGTGGCTGTGAGAGCTCGACGGTGCAAAGTGCGCAGGCATGCCTCATCCGGACAAACAACATCCATCTTTGTTTCGTGGTGTCGGGTCAGTGTCTACTGTGTGTCTTAATGGGACTGATATGGTCTGAGAAGCAGTTGTAACAGGCGCGGAGGGTTCCAGCTAGAGCTGTTGCTGAAATACCCAGGTGCTGACATCAATCTGCTCTGGCGCATTCTCAGAGCGGATGAAGGCACGTTCCGGGGCCTGATCCAGGACCCATGGGCCCATGCAACCACCTAAATCCTGGCTGAGTGGCATGCGCTGCCTGTTGCAATGCACGCCTGACGCCTGTCGCAGCGATTCCACATCGCAGGACAATGAAGAGCTTTTCGATGCATGGATGGATCTGCTAATGCCTTGGCCAGATGCGATGCGCTTGTCGTGCATGGGCTGAGGCGGTCAGAGGGCGAGATCATGCTGAGGTTGAGAGTCATGCGGGCAGCGGAGATCGCTGCATTGAAGTTTGCCATGTCGTTACTGGAGGACCGCAATCTCAGGCTGCAGCAAAACCATGCAACTGGCGAGCCTCATCGACATAGACCCAGGGTTCAACAGCAGATACCTTTGCCTCCAGCTCCGGCTACGGTGGAGGAGATCCAGCTCTCCGAGGATGACAACGACTTTGCGGAGCAGCAAGAACAGGTACTTCTAGCAGCTTGTAGCTAGCAGTCATGCCAATGCCTTCAGCAAGCTCAGTGCCCTGCCTCTCTTAGGTTGTGCAACACAAGACGGAGACCCTAGCAAGGATGATTCAGGAGCTGCTGGTGTCATGATGGCTTTGGTCTGGAGCTCTTTCTTGCTGCCATTTCCCACTTTTCTCTGCAACGGAAGGCTTCTTGCAAGCGACGACAGTGCAATGCCACGAACCACTGTAATCGTAAGTCTTGTACTAAACCGCATGATTAGCGCATGTCAGTGCCATGTCGAACACGCTCTCGCATTGGGAGAATGCAGCAAGTCCGGCTCTTCCGCCATGGCTCCTTATCAACTTCGTCAATCGGGTGCAGGCGGACATTGGGAGTCGTCAAGCAGTCTCGGGCAGGGGGCCAGATTCACATGAAGCCAATTCACGGGTGGTTGGTGGTCGCAGTATGTTGCGGTGCAGCGCAGCTGAGAAGAACAGGTTATGGCGTTGGCGCACCATTGCGCAATCTGCCAGCTCTCCTGGGTCGGCCCAGCTGAGTCCTGGCAGACACACGAGACTGGAAAGACACACCGCAAGCGACACTAAGGCTTGCACTTAGTGCCCGTCGTGCCCAAACTCAAGGATCCTCAAGAGGTTTCGAGACGGTGCCTCAGGACTTCTAAATCCACGAGCCCCTCGAAGTGACGACACTCAGGCGGGAGCTTTGTCTTGCGAAATGTGGAGACCTATGTCACCTCATGCATGTCAGGCATGTGGGCCGCAATGGTCGCGACTGTCCCCGCCAACAGGATCCAGAAATCCGACGCAGTCTTCGGCGAGACTCCCATGTGCAGTGCGAGAACATGCTGCAAACTCATTTCTGCTACCTGCAGTCACTCTGACTCTCCTCTGAGCAGAGGCCATTCAATTCTGGCCCTGGCCGGGTGACGATTCCACCTTCAACAAGCTCGCTGAGAGGTTCGTCACTCATCTCTGCCAGAGGACCGGAGGGCCATACTGTTGGGAGCTTTCGGTTTACTCCGGCTTGGCGGCGCCCTGGCAGGTCGACAAAGCAGGTTGATGAGGCCGCTGATGTGGTGACTGAGACGAGTTTTGAGATTCCCCTTGCGGTGCTCCGGGCACAGAAGGCACTTCGCACAGTGCCCAGCTTGTGCTTCTGCAAGTCGTGTGTCCCCAGCAGCGAGGCACGCGAAGTCCAAGACCAGATGCGCCGATGCCAACAAGAGCCTGACGACTTTGACGACATCGAAGCTTTGTGGGGGTCCGCAGCTCTGCATTTCATCAGAGATGAGATCGGAATTCTGTGCAGGCATCGGCACCCAATGTGTGCAGGATCGCTGTTGCATGTTGCAAAGCGCATAGAGTCATAGAGACCAAAAGAGCATGAGATCGCCGACTGTTCCACAATCGGCACAAGCTATTCAAGCTGCTCTCGAGGTATGCCAAAGAGAAGTTCGCCCTGCGTTCGGCCATGGCCTTCAATGCCCTCACAAAGTTTGCCCCACCTACACTGAGAGCCAAGCTGGTCAGGGCCATAGCGACCATCCCATGTGGACAAACTTGGACAAGCTTGAAGAGTCTGAAACTCTTTGAAAGAACGGCTGTCGCCAGTGCCACCGACCCCATCTTTCTTTTGATGCAAGACATGGGTGCTCAAAGGGGAACTGCTTTCGCGCAGTGCCTCAGCGCTGCTGGATTATGTTGCACTTCACGTAGATGGTAACATGACACAGGTGTGCACACACGACCATACGCGTACGGCAGGGGCGAGTTTGGTGAGGGTTGGCGAAGGGACGCCGTTGGCAAGCAGCAGGGGCCTAGGAGCAAGGCTTCAGGAGGTAGGGCAGACAAACCGAAACCGGAATCCAGGCTGCGGCAATGATGAAGTGGCGGAGTGGACGGTACGCGTTTGCCGTACCACAGATACACGGCATCCTCTACGTGGAGACTTCGCAGAAATCGATCCTCGTGTGGTCTCGTATATATCCAGTAAGTCAGTCAGCTTTCTTTGAAGATTGTATCGCATTTGTTTGAGGTCAAAAGAAGGGTATAATGAAAACGCTGCCCTTGGAATGAAAATGATGATGCCTTGATGATCCAGGTCACCAATGCACAGAGAATATAGCGTCCGGCCTGGATGTTAACTCTGCTCTACACGAGCGTAGTTTGTACCACCATGCAGAAGCGCTGTCGATCGTGCCACGACTTTCTTCTTTCGTGCTGGCTGCGCGCAGCCTGCGTGGACACAGCATCTGCTAGCTGTGGTCATGTGTTCTTGAACCAGCCAAGCTCCTGGCGTGGTTGACTGGCACGCAGTAGCTGCTAAATGCAGCCCGAGAATTTACCAAGAGCACCCGGCGGACAAGAGCTTTGGACTCGCCACTTTGATGCGGCATGCAGAAGTCCTTTCATGCTGGCGAGAGAGCCGTCGATCGTAGAGCGCATGCCGTTTCACAAGGCAAGATGCATCCATCTTGGAAAGAGGTGCTGTGCAACACGCATTGTAACCTGTTGCCAGAAGTGCGCTTGGATATGTGAGCGTGTGCTCTCCCAGCCAATTCACTGATGAGTTTTTCCCGGACCGCTTAATGATATGCTCGTCTCAGCGAGCACCCTTGCTGCTCAGCCAATCTGCTTCGCAGCCGATGCCCGTTCTTCCTCGACTAATCTGTTACTCGTTCAAAGCTACGCATCTTGTTCCCGGCTTGCTGCCTAATACCGATTTCCGACCGCCCACCAAACGCTTATTGATCTTCTTTCCCAGCTCTTTCGTTGTGAGTGTGTTGGACAGCTACTTATTGCGTCTGCTGGACCAGCTTGCTGGTCTAACTTTTTGGCAGCCCGCATCTCCTGGCTTGTTCGTAGAATTTTGCGATGTCCCGGCTTTCGCCGTTCGCTTCGTGTGTCTGCAGACGACTAGACTGAACAAAGGCGGAAACTGACCTCCGACCGTCGGTGGAAGCTGCACCTACGAGCCGGAATCAGGGCACCAAGTGTGCGCTGGCACGGATATTGTCGACCTTGTGCAGCCCGTGCGACAGTTCGGCAATGTAAACTCAATCTTCGGCTGTCGGAAGTGTGTTTCCGATTGAACAAGAGAATATTACAAAGTTTCAAAGGCCTTTTGCAACTGTCACCGTCTGCATCACTGCGGACGCCTGCGGTACAGTGATGGAACCTCGCTGCGTCCTTGATGTGCATATATCGGATGTGGTTCCGTCGCTACCGCTGTCAAGCGTCCTAAGATGTTGTGCATATGCACAGAGCCTTCGTGAAGGCGCCGCCAGACGTTCATGGGACTAGTTAGGAACTCTTGCCCAATGTGGTGGAGCGTCTTTTCTCGAATTTGTCTGACGTTGCTAGCGGAAGTGCTCTGCCGCGTCGCTTTGTAAGGCGAGTCGGGCAGGCGACCCAATTTCGGAAAACCATGGTTTGTTACCGGAAAGTGTTCATTTCTGCGGGTTTTGGGCGGGCGAAGAAACTGTTTGTGTTCTTGGAATGCATCGCAAGCACAGTCACAGCACAATTTGTGCCCGCCGGAGGGTGATGACAGCAATACTGCGATTTGTTGCGCAAATCTAGCGCATCATTCTCACGCACACACACACACACACGCCGTATTGTGCGCCTGCTGACTGCATCGACACTATTTGGGTTTTTTCTGCAAAGGCTTGGCCCGTTAGGAGCAGCGGTGGTAGTACGTGCAATGTTGTGTTGTGTAGTGTTGTGACTCCCCAGGCTGGGCCTTTGCGTGTAGCCGCTTTTGGCGGGGGACCTGCCGCAGAAGTTTTTGCCGCCGTGGTGTCGCGGCTCGAAGTTGTTGTTTGTCTCTGCGGGGGTGGCAGGGTCTCGTCGCATTGGCACTACAAGCTGTCGAAAGTTCATGCCAGTGATGGATAGAAACTGCCTGCTAGGTTGCGAGAGATCTGGCAGATGGCACCAGCGCCAAGCTTGCGGTTTACGACTCTCGGACGGATCTTGCTGGGGATGAAGGAGTTCGGTGCCTGCCAGCCAGATGGGATTGAAACTCGACAGTAGCTTCTGCCTTCCGCATCTCCTGAAGCGGTGCCATGGAATGGAAGGCCTGAGTCGCTTAGACATGTGTGACGAGATGGAGTCTCCGCTCGGATGACTGTCCTCTCCGGTTTCCGTGCCCGAGGAATGGGTGGAGACGTGGCGCCCGATTGTGGAAGTCGTTTCCAAGCTCATCGGCGAAGACATTGAGTATCATCATTGCCTGCCCGCTGCACCTTTTAACCTTGGCAATTTCGGGAGCTTACGAAGACGTCCGAAACTCGAAGGAAAGGAGAGTCCTCGCTCTCTAGGCGATGTCTCCAAGTCCTTGTTCGACGACGCGAATAGACACCTTCAGCCCGCCGACCTGCAGCGGCTTGTCCTTCTTGCGGGGATACGTACATGCTGCGAAGTGCTCATTGTACTGCGGTTTGCCATGTGGTGGGGGCTTGCGGGCTTCTGATATGACTTGGCCCCAAGGTACGACTTGTTGATCTTCTCGCATGTTGCAGCCTTACGTGTTACAGATTTTCTGTGCCCTGGAACTCCGGCAGAACAGGTTCTCTTGGAGTGTGGGCGAGGAGACGGAGAAGCGCCACTGCAGTTCTTGCGAGATCTCTGGGAATGCTGTGATGGCACTGTCGCTTTGCAGCATCAAGCGCCGTCCCTGGTCAGACAGCGAGCTCGGAGCCCATAAGACACCCTTCGTGAAGACTTTTTCAGATAAGTTGCACTAGCCCTGCAGATCAGAAGACTCCTCTGGCCTTGGCTTCGCTAGTCTCCAAGAATGTGAGCCTTTCGAGCCACTTTCCTGGCTAGGTTTTGGTGCTGGACGCCGGGCAAGCGCGGGGCCGCGGCTGTCGCTCACGTCCCCTGGTGGCCTGGCTTTCTCATCAGCCTTGCAAAATTACCCCTGCACGACAATGTCCAACACTGGGATCTGTGCTGTGCAGGCGGGATCACTGCGACAAGTCCAGATTCTCGCGAGCAGCTCTTCTATGCAGAAGCCTACCTTTGATGCGATAGTGAGTAGTGGGAAGTACGTTCTTCTAACACCGCACTCTGACTTGTGCCCTGGGACAATCAGCACTTTCTTTCGTTGGTTCTTGCATAACCTACGACATCCACACGGTCAAGGACGAATGGTTGCTGTCAATGGTGAGTCATTCACACTCCCCAAGATCTGTCATGAGAGACCAAACCGAACAGAGCAGCCCGCCCAAGAGACGTCGAGCGTGAGTTGTGGACATGACATATGTTTGTGTGTGCGATGCGTCTCCCCCAAGCCAAGGCGACATTGACGCAGAACTCGTTCGCATCAATGGTGCAAGTAGAACAGCAGCTTGGCGCGATTACTGGCCTGTAGCTGTCAGCAGATGCCCATATGGTCGCAAGATGTTTCGCAAAAGTTGCTTAGTCTGTGCTGATCGGAATGTAGCTTCATGCACACTAAAGTTTGAGGGAGGCACGTGTCACAACCAGAGCTGTTTCGGAATATTGAAGAAAAGTGGTGACCGTACCTGACGGTTGCTGCTGTCTGAGGACGGAGTTTTCCTCTGTCGAGGCAAGCCAACACAGAGCGATGCTGAAAAAAGCTCGCGTGCTGCCCATCTTCTGCACACTGCTGTGGGGTGTCGATTGGTTTGCCTTCCTTGACCTGCCTTGAGCTTTCTAGCTCAGCCTACTTTCCGCATGTTGAGGAGCTCGCCCCAAGAGTTCTTTGCTGGAAAGTCATCACGCACTGGAACCTAAGCTCAGAGGCAGGACGAGTTCCTGGCAGAGCCGTCGCATCTGGCGTCTTGTGAGGCAGCAGATCCACAGTTTGAAGTGGGGGTGACCGAAGAGGACGATGAGGCCCCAGATGTCTTTTTGCTAATCGACACGCCACGCCAGACTCGGTTGGAGGCTGAGGCGGATGACCAAGAGACCGACGAAAAGATCATTCGTCCAAAGCGGGAGAAGGCAGGCCAGTAACAACTCCAACCAAAGCTCCTGATTCAGATTCACTCAGCCTTCGTCAACTAGGCCTGCCTGACCTACACGCTTGATGAGCAGTACGAGGAGCCCGAGATTGTGGCCTTTTGGAAGCATACTTCAGAGACCATGCCATGCCAGGACTGCTTGAAAATATGTGGCCTATGCTATTCTCTGTTCCATGCCGACGCCTGAGCACTACAGTAGCATACAGTTGCTCTCCTTGCTGCTTTTGCGTTGCCCTACCCCAACAGCTCTCGATACCTAGAGTGAATCGACGGCTTTGTGCGACATTCTTGCTTCACTCACACGGTCCCGGAGGCAGTGTTCTCAGCACCTGAGTGACGGGCTCAAAAATCCAGTCCGCAAATCTTTTGTCAAGCTTCCGCCGAATTACATCATGACCACAGCTCCTCAGGACTAGAACACAGTTGTTCAAGGACGTGAAGATAGAGCAGCCAGCCGACATGCCAGCCGGGATCTTGGAGTGGCAGGGCCAGTACTCGTAGAGGGCTCTTGGAAGGCATGTTTTGGTCACTCCCAGGTCTACACCAAACCGGAGTGGGCCACGGCTAAAACCAAGATCTTTGATAGGCCGAATCCGGAGAAAGGGGTCTGCCCAGGCAGGCCTCCCATGGAGCCATTGCCATGCAGGTTCCTGGAGAAGGTCCAGAAGATGCTCGGAGAGAAATACCTGCACTTCCTTTTCGGGCAGGCCTTCTCGCTGAAATTGGGATCGGCCGAGGGTTCTAAAGAGGCCCCGTGGCTGGCAGTCAAAACGACGGTGCCTGCTCACAGGTGGAAATCGTGCGCGGGTCTCGACTTCAGCGTGTCTACTTCCTGGTGCCGAAGGCTGATCTGCATCTTGCGGCTTGCTCAATTTCCCAGCCTTTGCATGACAGGCGATCCGAGTTTTGAAAAACCACTCCCTGGTGCACAAGTGGAAGCTGCCTTAGCTTTTGAAGAGACAGAGAGGCCGATAGGAGAGCAGAAGCCAATTGTTCCAGTGACCCAGGCAAGAGGAATGCCTTGTGAACGTGAAGCGCACATCACCTGAGGCTTAGTAATCCCTACAACAAGGCATGGCTGCTTGTGCTGCTTCGTGTGTTCATCCTGGTAGGCACAGATCGACGACTTTGCTGATTTAGTGAACGGAGAGTGCGCAAGTGGGATCCAAGAAGTGATGTTTCGGTGTCATGCAGACATCTTCAGAAGTGGCGTTTCAGTCGACAGGTACATCTCCTTCGTTCAGAAGCAGTTCGACCTCTTGGGAAAGTGCGTGTCTGAGGTACTGCACGTGCTCTTGGAATTCTCTGTGCTTGCCATTAACATGGTGCACATGGGCCTAATGTTTTTCGACAAGGCCATGGCCTTTCAACAGAGCGGGAGAAGTCATCGCGCCACCTGGCTCGACAATTGTAGACCAATGCCCGAAGGGCCATTGCCAACAAGCTGAGGCTTTGCATCAATTCCACGATGCTCACGACTGCCATCATCAACAGCATCCTGGTCTTCGTGTACACAAGCCTCCAGCTCAGGGCTGTGCGAGTGGCATGCAGCAGCTGCCTGGCCTGACACTAAGGCTCATATTCCGAACATTCTATTCTGGAACAAGACATCCACTATCCGCGCCGCGGCAGGAATTCGTGGATCAGCCAGCAGAACGCATGCTTAAGTCTTCATAAGTTCGAAAATAACCGGAAGAGGTGCCGTGCAGTCTACCGTGCATGTCGATGCATTCCCGATATCGCCATTGTGGCTATCGTCTGTCCTGAATCCTGAAGTTGTCAATGGCGGCGTTCGGCTCCAGCCAACACATTTGCGCTGTGCGTGTGTGTGTGTGTGTGTCTGTTTCATTTACATCCGCCTGGTTGCAGATGGGTTGGACTGAAGGACAAACGGATAAGCATACGCATGTACATGTGCAAGTAACAACCTACGGAACATAAAAAGAGGTGTACATTATTCAATGCTACAGCAGATACATGTTCTGTCTTCATACAATCTGCCCTATTCATGTGAACACACATGTACAGGTAGACAGACCGACAGACAAACACCTTGGAACGTTTTCAAGACAGGATGTGGAACGCTTTGGCTCTGAACCACTGGCGCCTGAGATAGCTTCTCGGAGGTTTGAGGCAAATTGAACTGTCACAAGACGTCGCAGGGTCCGTGCCACGCCAGGGCTGTGCATCATTGGGGGAAGGAGTGGAGCTTGTCTTCGGCCATGTGGACTTCACACGTTGACCATATCCGTACAAAACCCTGCCTGGACAAAGCCTGTACGTGTACAGGACCAGTACCACCCATGAAAAGCTGCAGCTGAAGGAAATGTTTACCCTGCGCGCACACAGCCGATACCTGTGCAAAAACCTTGCCTACCCATACAACACCCACCAGTGCAAAACCGGCATACAAACCGTACCCGCAACGAAACTTAACCCAAAAAGCCGTGCCCAAACAAACCCTGTACCCATACAAAGCCTGCATGCCCGTGCACAACCAGCACCTGCACACCCCTGCAACGCGCGAACACAAACAGTGCTTGCCACAAGCCATGCCTGCACACCACCCACACCGATAGAGAGCCGTGTGACTTACCGGCAGGGGCAAGAAATTCTGTGTACACACATTGCACACATCTTTCTCAATGACATGTTCATCCACTCTCCGTGTCCGAAGTTTAAGCTCAACCAGTTGTCCAAGCTTCGGGGAAGCCTCGGCCTACAGTTCTCCGTTGATTGCCAAACTAAGTGCAGGGTCGGAGGCTGAAGGTGTAGTGATGTAGAGTATTATGGTGCCGCTGCGCTCCGGTCCCCTTCCGCTGTACCCGCCCATTTCATGATTTAGGTGATGTATATTTAATACCTGTGTTCTGGGTATCCACGGCGTCCGCGCCCGTTCTTCCAGACATCCAGGCCCTGAGTGTCGCTACGCTGGAGTCCGCTGAGGAACCAGCTGTCGGTGTACATCCTGACGTTCTTTGCTGGCATCCACTTCAGTCTCTCACTGTGCGAGACTAAGCTAGAAGCGAAGTGATGTCGGAGCAAACAGTGAGCACACGACGCCGGCTGCCGAAAGGCTGTGGCTTGGATTCTACGTGCTTTCATACAGCGGCTGGATCATCGAGACCAAGGCCGGAAGGAGTGGGGTGTTGCCATCTCAAGAAAGACGCCCCAAAGTCCTATGCCGAAAGCCCTAACGAAGCAGAGCAGAGGGAGGTTCAGTCTGTGAGCTCCAGGTCGACAAGTGGCGCGAAGAGAATCCACAACTGCAGAGCCAGCTGTCACCCACTTAGACTTCTAGGCATCACTCCGAACATGCCTACGAATGGGGGTGCTCTTGAAGTCCGCAGACCAAGCGCACCGATTCGCCGAGGAACAATCTGCTCTACAGGCTCAGCTTGCAGGCTCCGTCAAAGGAAACTTCCAAGGAGACTGCTAATGCTTTGATCCACTGATTCCAGTGCTCTTTTAAGCTCCTGAAACCATGGCATAAGGGAGGCAGGCGTCGAGCTCTTCCTGTCCCGATGATCAGCTAGTAGTTTTGGCGAGATTACAGTTGTTAGGGATATCTCCTGGCTGCATGATGCATTGGATGCTTTGGTTGAGTGTTCAATCCGTGACAATTACAAGACTGCGCCTTGCACACTACTACGTACGTCCTGTTCATTACAGCGTGAGAGAGGACGTATTTGTCTGCTTCAGGCAAAGTTCTTCTGCAGCGACAAACAGCTCCTCTACACGAGCCTTGCTGAGATTTTGGCTTGCGTGAAACGAGGGGCCGGCGGCCGTGACGAGTTTGCGCCAAGGCTGTTTCTGCTGGCATTCTCCTTCCTTGGACTCTTCGCACCGCACTCATCTGCAAATGTGCCATGATTATGGTGCGAAGTGCTGGTGGCAGTTGCTGCTTTGATACTGATACCGTGTGTCCAGCTGTAAGGGTTTCCTCGAAAGCGTGCCTCTGTGTACACAACTTTGAGCAAGAAGCATACTGTTTAATACGGTGTGGCGAGTCATACATTGGTGTAAAGTTCCCCCACCTACTTTTGGTGTATATGATTGCAAGTGTATCACAGACTTGCATCTAACCTTGCCCGGTGGCTGTCGGTCAAAAGCAAGGTGTACTGCTCAGGATGCTTCAGCGTAGACCTGCGAGGTCAGCTTTCTCTTCAACGCCGTCAACACCATCGATCTGTGCATGCGCATCCCCATCTTGGCCAAAGTGATCGAGTCCATGACACAAAGCCACGACCTTGGGGCCACCAGAGGATCTCGCCCAACTTCATCAAAGCTCAAGTTGAGGCATGTGAACCAGTCATCTGAAGGCGTGGAACAAGTCGCTGGCACCATGGTGCTGGGCTTCTGCATCCAGTATATTGCCGTCGGTGAAGACCTCAGCATGAACTTCTTGTTCATCGAGTCAGCTGCAATGAAGAGCACCAGTATCAAAAGCACTGCTGCTTTTTGCAAGGTGCGGGGTTCCTCCTCTTCAGTCAGGGCTATGGTTTTGCTGATAAGGCCGGCTCCGATCTGATCAAACATTCCTTGGACCATTATTATTACTAGTATTTGTATTAGTATTATTATTAGTCTTATTATATCTGCCACAACAGGGAAGTCATCTTTAAAGCCTCTCTTGGTTCAACGGAATCTTCCGCATCTTTTGCCCAGTGGGGACGTGTCGTGGTCTTGTCAAGAGCTTGGTGGCCTTTGTGTATTCGTCTCTGTGCACTGCATCGGAAGCTTCGACAGAAAGCTGGCCCCTTCTTCCTCAAAGTCGTCCGGTGCGTTCGACAGATTTTTCTGTCGTCGGTTCCAGTGTCAGGACACCTCCGGCTGTTCCACCTTGCACTCACCTCGGTTTTTGCTGTGCTATCAGATCAGGCGGCAGACAGTCACTCCATTCATGGCAGCAGCACAGGATGGAGTGTCTCCGTGCGCACTTCGACTATGGCTTTCGCAGTGCACCAGCACCAGTCTTGGCTTCTCGAAGGACTTCACGAACATGTGCAGAAGTGACAGCACTGGAAGCAGCCCGGCAAAGCTGCTAAAGGTCTGGAGCGGTCCGAAGCTGACCTACACGCGATTCACATTCGACTACGTCTACAATCTGGTTCAGTTCTTACGCAGCACACGGTTCGCCCATTCTGTCTTTAAACTCGCGATTGCATCCATGCCATCAAGGTGATCATTCTGATCATGGCGGCAATCATTTCAGGCCGCATCCTAGCGGCGGCATGCACGATCACAACGAGACGTGTTTTCTCTGATGTACTCGTGCCAGGAATTATCATCGATGCATTTGCCGACCTGAAGGAGGAACAGAAGAGCATCGAGGACTCACTCGAATCATGGTGACCGTGATTTGAGATGGGAGGTGGCATGTTCCGGTGTTCCAAGGAGAAGATGAAGTCTAGTTGCTTCATATGCTCCCTCAGTAAGCCGCTGACCTAGCTCCCCCATGCCTACATGTTTTTGACGACTTCTACCGGTGCACAGCTGCCCTAGCTCGTGTGAAGACCTAGGTCTGAACTGGAGCGTAAAAGGGTGAAGTTCGAGCCGCCCTGCCTTGTTTGCACGCCTTCATTCGGGGCAGACGCATTGATTATGTCTGCTTCATGCTTCAGGAACCACATCCTCAAGGACATCCGATGTGCAGCTGTAGGTCGATAGCCGCGATAGAGGATGCGACAACTCTTGGACTCTAACAGAGACTGGCTGTCTTCGGCTTCTGCTCAGTCATCATCTACCGCTAACAGAAAAAGCAGGGAAGAAAGTTTAAGCAGGGTTATCCCAATTCGATGCTCTACTCAGCTCGTTCAGGAACACTACATGTGGGCTTACGCTCGCTTTCTCTTGTATCTGGAAGAGACTGATCCGGCTGAGCTGAATGGCCCAGAGAGCTACGTGAAGCCGGGAACCTGGACCTGAGCTGCAATTCGGCATTCGGCCATGCCGTGGATTCACTGTGAACGAGGCAGCAGATCAAGGAGAACAACACCGGCTTCTTCCCCATCGCGCGCTGCATCGCTATGGAGCCATGGCCTCGGCTTTTTTTACCACCCAAGTGGCCCTCCGTCAGGCGAGGCACCAAGAAGCTTCAGCTGCAAGGTCGAGTGATGCTGGCGAAGAACATCTTGAGAGGGAAGTTCGGGTGTGCACCCTGGAGAAGATTTCGGGCGGGTAGCTGACTTCATAGCGGGTCTTCTGGCGTCTGAGTGTGGCAGGTGAAAGACCTGGATGAGTTCAAAGAGAAGATCAATTCATTGGCCCTCGCCTCATCCAGCGAAGAGAAAGTTGGCGTGTGAGAGAATCCGTGACGGCACTGAAGTTCCGAGAATCTATGCAACTCACGGATCAGGCAGAGGACACAGAGATCATGATACAAACCGAGCGGGGAATGAAGGCAGCATCGGGCTGCTCCCAAGCATGGGCATGGGCTTTTCGTGTGATGTGGCAGGCCGACATGAAGGAGCTGAGGGATGTCGTGACGCAGCAGTCACAGAAAGTGCAGGCCGGAGTAGGAACGCATAAACATAAACAGAAGCTGTTCTAGAATGCCGCTAGGTGGCCGTGTTTGGGCCTTCAGAGTGGAGTTTTTAAGTGCATCGCTGGCTTGATAGCTTCCATCTCGAAGCAGCCAGGCATTGAACCAGCTTCTCGCATCGGATGAAGATGGAGAGAAGAAGAAGAAAAAGAAGACGGGCTAAAGGCATCGCGCTTTGGAGAAGAGCACTTCCATGCAGGCCTGTTGCTACATACCTGCAAAGTTGCCCTACCGAAGTGTTACTGCTGTGATATATGTGAGCTGGTAGGCCAAAGTCGGCAAGAGATGATGCGCACCTCAGACAAGCTCCCTGCTGCCTCCACGTGCCGCAAGACCCACGTCGGCGACAGGCCATGATCATTGATAAAAGTTGTGCAGGAAATGGAACCAGGAGATGTGCAGAGTATGCAGATCCGTGAAAGGACGTGGCACCGCTCCCCAGCATGGTGCCTCGATGCACCTTGGGGAAGTTTGGTGGACCGCATGTGGATTCTCTTCGCAGAGATCTCAGCCGCTTCCTTCAATTGTCCGGCCTCGTTTCACAGTACAGCCCGCTTGCAGAGGCCCAACAAGGTGGACTGCCGGGACACGGAAGTATGTGACTCGCACAGGCCTCGAAGGTGTGGCGCGACACTATGTCAACAACAAGCTCGATCTTTCGACGACCCTGTACATAGAGCGCGGGTCTTTGGAAACTCCGAAGCACGCAACCAACAGAGTCTTGCCGTGGTGGGACACAGACCAGCGAACTTTGTCGAGTGTACGCTGGGCAGCTTAATTCGCACTGCCAGACATTCCGAAGTTGTTGCAAGTCCTCTGTCCAGCTGTGAAGCAGGCAGAACGAGCTGAAGGTACATGACGAGGATACGCAAATAGTGTAACTGTGTAGGAGACCAGCCCGGTATGATAAGGCTGGGAGCCAAAGGAGACCAGAGACTTCGGGATTTGAGAGCCAAAGACTGCTCAAGAGCTGACCATCGGCAGGTTCCATACAGGCCCCTGGCTTTCGACCGTGTTTCCGTTCCGGAGCCTTAAATTCAAGTTGCCGTTCGACGAAAAATGGCGTGCCTTAGGCCTTGTTTGATAAAGCTCTCAATCCAAACAGCCTTTCGTTTTGAAGGCACGGAAAGGGAGAGGCGAAAGGGAATCGATGCTACTTCCTGACGAGGCAGCCGAGCTGCAGCTCGTGCTCGACACGCTGGACAAGCCGTGCCGCTCGCGGTCGCGCTCGCGATCGCGCTCCGGCTCGCAGAGGGCAGCCCGGCATTCAGACAACGCCGACCTACCTTCCGATACCTAGGCGAAAACGCGAAACTGGAGCTTCCTCTCACATTCTGCTGAAGTTGTGTGACCGCCGCTTGTTTTGTTGAAAGCCAAGCCGTCGCAGCCGCACCACTGCTCAGTGAGCTACCTAGATAGAATTTAAGATGAGACGCTCCCACTCCGGAAGTCCCGAGATTCACCCACCTTTCAACTAGACTGGCCGGAAAGAGAGAATGGTGAGCTTTACACATCACCATCCTCGGCTAAACATGTAGAAGAATCTAGAGTCGACTGTACGCAGACACACACACACACACACCGCAGCAGCATGAGGTAGTGTCTTCGTGTCAATATGAAGCCAGCCGGCACGGCCCACAGCCATGGGTCAGAGGCTCAGCCAGCTTTTGCTACCCGGAAGTCGCTGACGGTAATACGGGGTATCTCGGAGTCCTTTAAGGCCGCACAGGACTGCTTCGGCTCCTCGCTGGAAGCTTTGACACATCCACGGCCGTTGAACCCGTTAATTACCGTGCAATCAGAGATCTTTTCGCTTCTTGGATCGCCGCACTGACTGAACCTTCTAAAGCCGAGCCGATTCTTGACTTGACGAGGTCGGGTTGCGGCTGACCTACCCTCTAGCAGGACTGCACCTTCGGCCACATCCGAGGCTCTTGTGTTCACTCGTGACATGCCTCCAGGATGGACAGGCCGCTCGGTCGTTGCCTCAGCTTGATCTAGGACTGCTATGGGGGCTCTCAGACCTCCGACTCGCATCGTCTCGTGTCACAACGGCGCGCTTGATGCTGCCCAGGATGGTACCGGCAATGTATCTGGCTTCAAGCTGAGACTGCCATCGTCGAGCTATACGTACTATACTGTCATATCCTCCACGTAGGCAGCTTCGTCTTGGGATCATTTTAGCATGCCTTTTTGTTCGACTGCAATACAGTCACTTGCCCCCCGGTCAAACATTCCAAGGTGTGGTGATTCATGATCCCGATGACTTGTTGGGTCGGAGCGCATGGTCCCAGGAGCTTCGAGAGCTTTTCTGCGGCTGCGTGTGTTGCAAGCATGTGTTGCCCGTTGTTCGGGTCACGCTGTTTGTGCATCTGCAAACCCTGTATGTATGCATCTGTGCAGCCTTTGCATCCGGCGAATGGCAACCAAAGTTCAACCCCTTTTTTCACATCCAAACTGAGGGGTAGCATTGATACTGCCGGTGTACAGCACGTGCAGGTCGGATCAGCTGAAAATTCTACGTATGATCTTACGCTTGTTCCCATTCCAAGTCCCACCGGGCCCAGCATCAGATGCAGCCTGTACTATGTCTTCGCCAACATCGTTTTCGCATGTATTCGTAAGGAATGCGAAGCCTAAATAACCGCTTTGGATCTCCTATGTCCCTTGCTGTCACAGACTGACGTCTAAAACCGTTTCGGTCCATGGCACGGCATGGCTCGATATGCTGTAGACCGTGTGTGCCGCCAACCCAGGCGCACGCTTTGCACAGAGATAGTCTGTTTCGGCCAAGAGAAAGTCGACGCAGAACACCAGCCCTCCTCGCACAGCCCGGTTCCCAAGGCCACTAGTCTCCCAGTCGTGTCGCAAAGGACACAGCTGCTAATGACATGTAAGCTTGACCGTACGTGAATCTGGCAAGCTTTTGATTTCCATGCCTGCTGGTGTAACCCTACCAAATCATTTTTCGGGCACTGGACAGTACTGTTTGAAGCCCCAAGAGAAGCAGCTAGTTAACGCGAAACTTTCGACTCCGTTGCAATTAAGTCTGCGCATCTAGGAAACGGGACAACCCCAGCATGACTGGAGATTCCCTGCTCCTGCCTGCTTTTGCCCGCCTCGTTGCCTCTTTGGCCGTTCCGCGTTTGCCTCTCTCAATGACAGGGAAGCAGAAGCGACTAGAACCGGAAGCAAGGAAGCCAGGGGTGGGAGGAAGACAGACTAGAAGAGCGGAGGTCCATTTTGCCCCTTGACTCTAGGTGCTTCTCGGGTTCACTGAATGTGTCCTCTGGTCTTGTTCTCCTGAAATCCGTAGAAAAAGAACGGAAAGGGAAGAGCCGAGAAAATGTGTACGCAAATAGAGATCGGGAAGGAAGTGATAACAAGGTACAAAAAGAAACCGCCAATATCACAGGAGACAGGGTGATAGAAAAGGAGCAAAAAATAGTTCTGTCTGGCATCTCCGCTCTTCTCTACTCCTGTCACTCTCTTACCTTTCGGTGTGCGTCTTTCCGTTTCCTTTCCTGGGCTCCGCCTAGCATCCTTTTCCAAACGTTCAAAGGGAGCGCAAAGCACGCGGAGGGGAAGGGGGCACTCCATCGGAGCGATGTTGTCTCTGCATTTTCCACTTGCTGCTGTTTGTCCTTTTTTTTCTGCCTTAGCATATCCTAGACGAGCAGGAAAAGCAGCGAGACATCTTTGTGAAATAAGACCAAAGGAAGAAACAAATGCTGTGGGGAGTTGCATGATCGACAGATTATTCCAGAGCGCAGTTTCCGTCTTTCTGATGCCTCTTCTGCCTTTTGCTCAAAGAACCAGAAGAAGCAATAGAAGGACGGGAGCGAGAACTAGCAAATCGCAACGCTCTATCCTCCTGTCCGTTTTCCATCGGGCGCGGCTTCTGCCTCTATCTCGCTCCAGGAATTTCTGCTAAAGCCCTAAATGCCGTACCTTCTCCTTTGAAGGCGTCAAACATGCTGTGTTCATTGCCCCGGCGGGGTAGACTCTTGTGTGTGTATATATAAATGCATATATATATATATATATACGTATGCTTCTGCATATACATATAACAAAATATATGTGTGTGCGTGTCTCCCTCTGTCTCTTATTTGGGCTAGAACTGGTTACTCTCGCTAACTAATCATGGTACAGTAGGTCCTATGTGCCTAGAGAGCCGCAAAACCCTGCAATGAAGGAAGATACCTGAAATTGTTTAGGGTTTAGGTCTCAGATTAGGGTCTAAGGTTCACCGATACCTTACACTTTAAGGTTTGGGGTTTCAGGTTTTGAAGGAGATACCTTGAACTATATGGCTCTTGCAAATTTTCTGTTGTAGGGCTGAAGGCGTCACAAATGTTGGGCTGCCTTGCTCCACACAAACATAAAGATTTCTGAAACATCGCCCACATATATATATATATAGATATATCGATATACATGAGCCACTCACGTATATGTGTGTCTGTATGTCTCCTCATATTCATGCTCGAACGCATGCATGCGTGCATGAATGGATGCATGCATGCATATAAATAAATAAATAAATAAATAAATAAATAAACAATTAAATAAATATATATATATATATATATATGTGTGTGTGTGTGTGTGTCTGTGTGTCTTTGTGTTGCAGGTCTGGTGCATTTGGACATGCCCCGCAGGATGCCGGAAAGTTGTCCTCGCTGTTGCAAAGCTTCGAAACGAGCATGGGCTCTGAACACCTCGGCCAGGCCAGCTCTTGGGGCTTTGGGTTCGAAGTCTCGTGTTGTATCCTTGGGTGTTCGGTCCCCATCTTTGTCTAGAAGAGGAGTGCCTGCAGCAGGGAACTGAGTCGGTCCGTTCATCAGTAGATATCACTAGATCGTCGATCCCGCCTTGCAGTTTGTGAGTGTCTTCCATCTTGACAAGTTGTGTTCTCATGTTGAAGCTCTTCGCTAAGAAAGATAAGGGCAGAGGGCAGATCATGGTTTAGCCTCATCGCTTCTGCTACTTACTAGTAGGTTTCGTAGCCAGGTCGTCGCCAGGAACATGCATAGCACAGAATCCAGTTCAATGTGTAACCTGAGACGTGGTATGCATCATGCGCTCTGTCCGATTCCGGAATTTTGGCCCTAGATACTACTTGGCCATGCCTAGTGTTGGTTGCCTGGCAGTTTGCTGTGCATGCGGGCGTTGCCTTCGTCGATTCGGCGCTGCCTTCAGCCCAACAGAGTGTGTCATGCCGACGGCAAGAGTGAGACCGCCGAGGACGGGCTTCCGCGTGTCACGGCAGATCACTTGGCGCAGGCACCGAAAGATGCCCGAAGGTGAATTCCGTCTAGGGCGCCTCACTTCAGGAGTTGGGCTTCAATGGAGCCGAGCCTGGAGTGTTGGTGGCCCTGAGCGCCCGTGTCTCAGTTCCCAGCCTTCACAGGTAGAGAACTTCACGCAAAATTGAATTGGAGACGCAGGCAGTGTCGGTGTATCTTGCTGGCTCCCTGCTACAAGCAGACCTGCCCGGTGGTGAGGATGGCGTTGTTGGTGCATCTGTGCCAAGTATTGGGCATTCACCGGCAGGAGCACCTGCTGGAATCTGAAGCGTGGCTGTCTGTCATGGCCTTGCAACTACTGCATCCGTTCCAGTGAAGTACCTGTCCAAGCTTCAACAGGCAACCTTAGTTCGCGCTGGGGTCCCGAGGCAGAGGCACTTTGCCGAGCTCTCCTGCGATCAGGCGATTACATCTCTGCTGCTGAGGCTCGCCAGACACCGGTGGTGATGGTTAGCGGAATCCGTCAATGCGGCATCAACAGAATTGCAGGGTAGCAACTTTTCAGAAAGCCGATCCGTGCAGGCTGCGCTCCGGGGCCTTCTGCAGGCCCTCACCCATTCGGTTGCATCTTGGCTCATCGAACGGTTCAATCGAAGTTGACACCGCAGCCTGGCGGGCAAAAGCCCAGGAGAGCATCGCTCCGCACGGCAACTTCAAGCAGAAAGAGCCCTGGAGCTCAACCGTTGCCCCGCATGGTCAGCAAGCCTTTCGTTGCTTGGACGCCAGTTCCTGGTAAAGGCTCGACAAGTGGGAGTCTGAGTACCAGGTTGGCGAGGCTTCGGCACTTTTGCATGCACGAGGATCATGTCACACAGTCCCGGAACTGCAAAATTGCAAGCATGGTGCCACTCGAGTATGTAGTCGTCAGCCTTGAGGGCATGATCCAACCACGATTGTTGCTCGAGGGTTCCACCAGGTATGGCTCAACATGTGTGGGGAGAAGGTTTGTCGAGAGCTGGTGCACCAACCTTACGTTCTCAGACCTTCCAGCAGAAAATCCGAATGTGAGTGGCGAAACTTGGGGAGGTTGGGCGATGTCCGGCAGCTCAGTGATGGATTCGAGTCTGCCTGGCGAGTTGCTTCAGTTGCTTTGTTGGCCTACCGGTGTCCAATCTTTGCGAGGCGGTACTACCACGAGGCCTTAGTCTATCCAGCTCTGAACTTGTCAAAGACTCGGGCATGTAAATTCACGAAACACCTGCTTGTTCGTGCAGCCTTATTCGGTCCCGTGTGACCGTACAGGTTTTGCAAAACTGTCATCTTTGGTCCGAGGCTGGGTGGGCAGAAGCGAAAGGTACTGATCCTGGGCGGTGGTGCGTGGGCCTGAGTTGAGTCCGGCGGTTTTTTGTTGTTTGCCAGAGCTGCAGTTGATCGACACCTTTCCTGTTGTTTTTGCATGCATGCGTGTGTGTATATATGTGTGTGTGTGTGGGGGGGGGGAGGATGGCGGCGTTGCCACCGCTGCACTGCGCTTTGACACTGTGGAGCAGGCCGGGAAGGGGCCCAACCCGGGGCACCGAGAGCAGAACTCAGTAAAAGTTCACTCTCAGCACATCCTCTCAAAACTTTTAGTGTGTGCGCCAGGGGTAAGCCAGAACGAGCGACCAGCGATCAGCAGTTTGCAAGGTACTTTCCGAATATTTAATTTGCACACAGGTTGGTATGCGCATGCGCACGCAACTGCACAGATGACAGCTGTCCAGTGAGAGACTGGGGTCTTTTGTACCAGATTTGGAAGGCAGACGCTCAAAAAGTGCTGCGTGCCTGGTCAGATCGTTAATGTGGACATTGACAGCTTCGTCACGCAGGCTGCTGCAAAGCCCGGGCCCAGGAGTTGTTTTTGCTTTGCCAAATGCGGTGCTAGGCGCACACGGACAACAGATTGAAATGAGGTGGTTTCCGAAAGTGGCAGCTGGCCTCAATGACAGCAGATGCGAAATGCTACATCTGGATGCATTTTCGTGGGTGCGGGTCCCAACTATGGCTGCTCGGGAGCTTGTGTGTTCTCCACGACCGCACAGCAGTGGCCTTGCTTCAATGTTGTTCTACAGGTGGAGGAGCAGTACAACAGTGGCAGATCTACTTTTGACCTTGTAGTGATCGACTTCACCGATGAGCCCGTGAAGGGGTGCCCAGGCTAAGTTTCGACTATCTGTCTCTCACCCCCTGCTTTGACCTTGCTTCAGGGCCTGGTCGAAGAAGTTCTTCTCAGAGGTGAGAGGCGGGAGTTCTCAGCTTTCTAGCACGAAAAACCCCTAATGTGCAACTCAAGGTTTGCTCACAAACGATGGCATCGTGGTGCAGAATGTTGGCACGTCCTCGTCCAAGAAGCCCCATGGTAAGAGTGAGACTGGTGCTGAGATGCTGTTCAGGATCGCAAACCCAGAAGACATGCGCAAGCTGTACGGCCTTCATGCAGATGTGTTTCCTGCTGTCGACCTTGCATGCTTGGGCTCTACTGAAATCTCGTTCATGCTGAGATATAAATGCCATCCTCGCCTAATACGGCAGGTCTTTCCTCTGCATGCAATGATTCCGGACTACTTGCACTTCTGCCCTGTCTTCTGTTGCACTGTGTAGGTATTCAGACCTGAATGTTGTCAGCTTCTCAATTGCAGGGGTCCATACATGCTGGTGCTGAGCAGCAACTGCCTCAGATACTCAGACTGCAGGGAGGCACGAGTCTTGTCAGCTATACCGGCTAAGCAGTGGATGCTCCAAGGCGCGAAACCACTGGATCCAGCAGCTGTGAACTGGGACCACTGGCAGAGGCCGCGATTGAGCAGTTCTCTTCATTGGTTCGATATGGCTTCAAGTTCGCATATCAGTTCTGGAGATGTAGTTGTATGCCCCGCAGGCAGCAGATTCTGGGACAGTATTATGTCGGAAGCTGACGCGACGTAGATGTGTGCGGCAGAGCATCTGCTCTCCTTCGCTATCCCAGGGTGGGGCAGCTCAGCATCACGCCCTCTTCCGACACATCCCTGCTGATGTGCTGTGGCCTTGGGTACAGCACGACCGACAGGCATCATCTCGCTTTCAGAGCATTGCAGAAGCTCATCACGAGAGTATGGTATGTACGGTATGCCATAGCAAAGCTCAAGCAATATCAGCCATGTCCATGCATGTTGGCGAGGTGTCAAGTGGTTTGTTGATCGCATGCAAAACGACTGTGTAAGTTGCTGTTCTGTGAAGGTCCCGTTTGCTGGGATTGTCACTGAGCTTGGACGAGAAGGTGCGCGCCAATGTCCCTGTTCTCGTCACAGACCGGTGAAGGGGCGCTTTCTGCTGAGGGATCTTTGCAGGCTCCATCCTCTGTTGTTCGACCGCTTCCCTTTTTCAAAAGGGGCGCATCCGGCAATGAGAAGGTACCGACCTTGCGGTGCACTGCAAGCTGGCTGCAGCAGTAAGGTAATGTGTCAGCCGACAGGTCGTCGTCAAGGTGAAGGGGATCGATGGTAGCAAGGCACGCACTGCGAGTTGTGTCAACATGGCACCAGATGGCTTGGCTTTACAGGTGCAGGTCTCGACGGAGGGAAACTCTCTGAGCCAGAGCCACGGCTTCATGTGCTGAGGGTAGGATGACGTACTGCCCACGACTTCACGACAAAATGTAGTTCGCTTCAAGCTGCAGATTTCACGAGAGTACTACCAACGATGGCGTGACATTGTTTGTCATGGTGTCTTCCGCCGGCATGTTGCCGTTCTGTTTGTCGCGTCCTTGCACTTCGGTCTCACTCTGCTTCGCATGAACGAAACTCGCTGCTTTTGGCTGTGTGAGGTTTCTATCAGGACCGTGACTTGCTTTTGGACGCGAAATCCCTGGAAAGAGCAAGCGCCCAAGCATGTCTCTCTCGACTCTTTTCCTCGGTCGCAAGAGACGCTGCCGCAAGTCATGCTAGGTTGACCCCTGCGCTCGTAACTCTTTGCAGTCACGTGGCGAGGATGAGGTCCTCGTACTCCCAGCCTTGGCCGTCCTCGGTAGCCGGGCGCAGTCCGCTGGGCACCCAGCTTTGGCTGTTGGCTGAAGAAACATCGCGCCTGAGCCCGAGCTCAGGTTCTTGTTCTGGGTGGCGGGACATTGCTTTGCACTGCAGAGCCTGATGCTGATTGTCACTTTGAGACAGTTTGATTTCGTGGCTCGGGGTTGAAGCAACGGAACATGTTTCGGCGTTCGGTTCATACCTGCTGCATTTGTTGCCAAGTGCACGTTGCGAACAAGTCATGCAGCAGCGCTGCCAGACGGAGGTACTGTAGAAGTCAGTGAGTCTCCACACCACCACGACTGGCAAACGCTTTTGCGCAGGACAGCTGGAGTAGCGGCACTTGCACTCAAGTGGCCGACTGTCGAAAAGATCGTGGTGGTTGAGGCCTGGGAAATCACGACATAGCGACATAGCGAGCGGCTGTCGCTTGAAGGTGGACGAGGTCGTCCTGAAGGTCGTCAGAAAGCACTTCCCTAAGCAGGCAGAAGTCCTTTCGGACCCCCGGTCGCCCGGGCACGCTTGTTGCTGTGCGAAGATCGGCGAAATTAAACAAGTTTCATGGTCGTCCGGTGTCGAAATGACGCTCGGCGCAGGGTCGAGCTCGTCCTTGAGGATGTCTTTGTGTGGCTTCGGACTCAGATGAAGCTAAAGCCCCCTTTCCACCTTGGCGAATGTCTGGATCAAATGCCACGGTCTGATACGGGCTTAGGCTCACACAGGACAAGCGCAGCTTTGATTTAGTCGTCGTGAACATGTTGGATCAACCTTGGCGCCCAGCTTATCCAAGTCACGCTGCTGGAGTCGTTCTCAGCATCCAGCCCGCAGCTGCAGGCTGCCTCCCCGGAGAACGACGAGATTGCCCAGGACAAAGGCTTTCTTCAGGCCAGCCATTACCGAGTCTTTAAGTCCACCTGCTCTGCTCTCCGCATGCAACATCGCAGGCTTCTGATGGCCACGGCCCAAGCAAAGCTTTGCTGGAATGGCAGCTTTGCGAAAGGTCAGCGGTCCTAGGTGTGGGAAAAGGCAGTGACTGTCGATTGACGTCATGCAGATGTCTTCGCCGCGGATCTCACTCCATCTCTTGGCTGTTGCAGTTGCCACATCGAGAACCTGACTTTTTTCCGTTTACTCGCTGGCTCTGGCCGCATACTGGCTCCACGCAAGCTCCCGCTCTCTCGTTCTCTCCACCTCTCTTGTCTCGCATAAGCAACGCTCTGCAAAGCACGACCAGCAACGCTTTGACTGTAGGCGAAGGTGGCCTCAGGAGGCTGCTTGACGCAGGAGGCACTGCCCAATTTCCAGCATGGTGACGGATGGTTGCGGATTCTTGTTCAGAGCTCTGCGCATCGTGTTTGCCGGCATTGGCTTTCTTTGTTCCTGGTGCTCGAACCGGAAGGCTGGCAGTGCTGCAATGCCAGAGCAGTTTGGAAGCATGCCCTGCCCTTATCTTGAGCCCACGTCAGCATTCCACCCCTCAAAACTGCGAGTTGTTTGGGCTCCCAGGTTGTCCATCCATCGCAGTATCTTTGTGAGCACGCGGGTGCCTCAGAGAGCAGTCGATTTGATGTCACTGCTGTCTGCAGCGAAGGTGGCCCATGGCCATGAGCAGCTCCAGCCCACAGCCAGCAGAGGGAACCTCAGCTGTGCATAGCTCGACTTCGCTGGCTGAGTGGGTTCCAAAAAGCCATCGTGAAGGTGCCAGGAGATGAGTTTGATGGCATCTACTTCCGCGGGTGCCTTAGTGTAAAGCTCCGCTCCGCTGCTCTCCAGCTGCCACATTCCCACGAGGTTTGCCACGACTCTTTCTTCTCAGCACGGTGAATGTACTAAGCCCGCTGCAGGAGCCGCGAGGGTTTGGTGAAACGCTTTGCCGTGCTTACTTTCAAACTTTGGCTGTGAGAAGTGTGTGAGAGAGATGAGAGAGCGATCCGATTCTTTTCAACAGAACCTGCAGCAACATCTTTTCCACTGCGCTTATCATCCTTTGTGAATCCTTTCTCCTTTCACGCTCCCTTCAATGCCCTCAAACAAGGGTGAGCCAATCGGCTCGGGGGGCTTGACCCGCCCTCTATGCCATGGAGAACAGAACAGAACCGCCCGAGAAGTTGTGCTGCAGGCATCCTGGGAACTTTGGCAAGGCCTTGGTGAGAGAGAGACAGAACTCTTGGCTTGAGCATTCAAGTAGAGACCTGCTAAGCCAGGCTTCGTCGATTCGGGAACAGTAACTACTTACTATCACCCGCTGCGGCCTTGACATGCGCTGACAGTTGTTATGATGCGAAGGATCACGCTACTGTCACATGGTCTAGTCAGCCCACGAGTGCCTCACACCGAGGCAAATGCACGTCTCGTTGTTCACACTCCCTGCAGAGATGCAGCGCCACCCCGTCTAGTTATGCGAGCTTCCTGTCCCTGCAATGCAGACTCGCCTGTGCCACGCCATGCAAGGCCGCTTCGACGTGCCTGCACCTGCAATAGCAGCGGAAGACACTGAGGTTCCCGTTTGCAGCAAAATCGAAGCTCGGGGCATCACCTGTTTTCGCGTGAGCCGGAAGGAACCTCCATCTTCGCACCTGGTGCACACGTTCATGTCGGAGGCACCTCAGCCACCCTCCAATCTGTTGAGACTTCGAGCAGTGCAAGGCTTCAGGGTGCTCACCCGACCTGCTAAATGACATTCCAGTCACAGGCAGGGTTGATACCGGTCCATCTGACACAGCAAAGCTTTGAGTGGTGAGTCAGCACAGGCAGGCTTCTGCGGAGACTGGTGCAGCCCTGAGACTAGCGACTCCAAGCTTGGATTTAGTCACGAAAGCTAGCTCCTTGGAGCTTGCGGGAGTATCGGACACCGGCCCTTTCGATTAGGGAGGGGGAGACCCCCCCCCGCCCCCCTCTCCACAAGGCCCCCCCCCACTCCCCAAGGCCCCTTGCGCTCTGGTAGTTCTTGCTGTCAACGAGTTGAACTCTTTCACCTGCGATCTTGCTGCCAACGAGTTGAACGCTCTTGCCTGCGAGTTGAGCTCTCTGATTCCTGTTTTTTGGCTTGGCACTGTATTCTGCAGGGTTTGGCTTATCCATCAGTATCAGATTGCAGTTCTGCAGTATCGGATGGCAGTTGACGATGAACTTGCTCTGGTAGTTCTTGCTGTCAACGAGTTGAACTCTTTTACCTGCGATCTTGCTGCCAACGAGTT